AGTCCATTCATTGAGGGGGGCTGCCAGTCCATTCATTGAGGGGGGCTGCCAGTCCATTCATTGAGGGGGGCTGCCAGTCCATTCATTGAGGGGGGCTGCCAGTCCATTCATTGAGGGGGGCTGCCAGTCCATTCATTGAGGGGGGCTGCCAGTCCATTCATTGAGTGGGGCTGCCAGTCCATTCATTGAGGTATGTTACTAGTCCATTGCGATGCATTAATAGTCCATTTATTGAGGTGCGTTACTAGCCCATTCATTCAGGTTCACTGCCAGCCCTTTCATTAACTGACACAACACCTCAATGCACTAAAATGCGCGCAACGCAGAATGTGGCTTCACACCTTTGCATCGTGATAACGCACTTCACGCCGTAGTGCGTCCCAGCGCCATTCATTTTCAGTTTTTTGTCTATAGATTTCATAGAAAACAAAATAATTTTTCCAAGACAATAATAGCGAAAGAAAGCCGAATTTATCCCAAAAAAACATTGTTATGTGTTACCCTCGCCCTGTGTTATACAATTACATCTCAGTGTATCTCAGGCCCCTAGGGGAGTGTGAACATTGCTCTGGTGTATGAGGAGGGTACCAAGAGGGAGAGCTGAAGGGGTTAAAGACCCCCAACATTGTATCAAGTCTCTTCAAGTAAAAGTTTGGCCTCATGTGGGACCTGTGTGGACATTCCTGGGGTCATGTGACCCTCTCCCCCTTACCTCTGCTGACACTTGTGGTTCCTCAGGGAGGAGCTCAGGCTGCAGCGCAGCAGTGAAGGGGTTACACAGGCGCCACAGGTGACCGGGCGGTGACGCGCAAGGGAGAGGGCGGGGCCTGGTTGGTGGTGGTGGAGCGCGCACGGGAACGCGCAGGGAGTTTCGGCGCACCTGGTGGCGGAGTTACCTGAGGAGGAAGAGGCGGCAGAGGAGAGGAGACGATGGCGGCGCTCCGGGTCCCCGGGCTCCTCCTGTGCCTTCTTTACCTGTTAGGTGAGTTCAGAGGGGCGGCGTGAACCGGGGGGAGACAACAGAGGGCCCACACGGCCATTGTTAGGGCCCTGTGACCTCCATGAGGGGTTATATTGCCCCCTCCCCCCCACCGTACTGGTCACTGTGAGGCCTCTATTACCCACTTGTTGGAGTTCCTTCCAGACAAAACTTTATTTGTTGTACTTTGTTTGGGGTGTGGCAGGGTCATCGTGTCTACATTGCTGTTCAGTTACCAAAAGAGTTGAAATCTTCCAATGGGGATACCTGAGGGGGAGTTCCTCTCACTTCCTGTTGTTTTTCCAAGACAGGAAGTGAAAGGAGCCCCCCCATTTTTATCTGGGTCAGTGCAATAAGGACCCAACAGAGGTTCTGATTCCTCACCACCAAACTAAAGTTTCTGGTTTTATGTAAACTTTAATATTCCCCCCTGGGGCGCCATAATGTGTTTACTTCCCTTTCCCCCCTCCTAAGGGTTCATACATAGGACCGCCTGGGGTCATACATAGGGCCGCAAATTCGGGCATATTTCCCCTGCCTGGGAGGTACAGGTGCCACCCAAGATATCAATGACTATACAGGAACCACAGGCATATGTATGGATGCCCAACCCCAAACACAGCCTGTACACATGTGCATGTTTACATAAATCTGCTGTATACCCTCCTACAGCTATATACAGCATTTGGTATCTTTGCACACAGGACCTGGGGCTCCTGGACAGGGGAGATGCACCCCGATTTATGTCATACATCATACAAGGTGGCCATATGTTGTAAGCCCCAATATTATCTGTATATATAGTGTAGATAGACTGTCTCCTTATTGATATACAATTATATCTACCTTCCCCTCCCCCTCCTCACATTTTGAAGTGCTCATGGACTCTGGGGTCCATGGCACCCCCGTGCTCACGGACTCCGGGGTCCGTGGCACCTCCGTGTACTTGTCTCAATGACCAACTATCATCACAGGAGGTGGAAGGTAATATCCCGATCTAGACAAAGGAAGCCGTAAAAACGTGAGAGTGGCTGTAACCTTTCCCCTGTCTGCTAAAGGTGCTTCTTGCATCCCCGCTGGAAAGATTTCCCCTGACTTCCTGTAAACTGGCATTGCTCCTGGGATTTGTCCAGCCCCGGGGTACACAATGCGACATTGTTCCAGGGATTTGTCCAGCCCTGGGGTAGTAAGCAGTCCGGCATTGCTCCCGGGATTTGTCCAGCCCCGAGGTACACAGTCCGGCATTGCTCCCAGGATTTGTCCAGCCCCGGGGTACACAGTCCGGCATTACTCCCGGGATTTGGCCAGCCCTGGGGTACACAGTCCGACATTACTCCCGGGATTTGGCCAGCCCCGGGGTACAAAATGCATCATTGCTCCCGGGATTTGTCCAGCCCCCGGGGTACACAGTCTGGAATTGCTCCCGGGATTTGGCCAGCATCGGGCTAAGCAGTCCGGCCTTGCTCCCGGGATTTGTCCAGCCCCGGGGTACAAAATGCGTCATTGCTCCCGGGATTTGTCCAGCCCCGGGGTACAAAATGCATCATTGCTCCCGGGATTTGTCCAGCCCCGGGGTACACAGTCCGGCATTGCTCCTGGGATTTGTCCAGCCCCGGGGTACACAGTCCGGCATTGCTCCTGGGATTTGTCCAGCCCCGGGGTACAAAAAGCATCATTGCTCCCGGGATTTGTCCAGCCCCCGGGGTACACAGTCTGGAATTGCTCCCGGGATTTGGCCAGCTTCGGGCTAAGCAGTCCGGCCTTGCTCCCAGGATTTGGCCAGCATCGGGCTAAGCAGTCCAGCCTCGCTCCCGGGATTTGGCCAGCATCGGGGTACACAAATCGGCATTGCTGCTGGTCTTCTGAAAATGAGTTTACTGGCTTTCATTGTGTCCCTGTAGCTTTAATCCTTTCAGTTCCTCTGTGAACAAGTATGGAGTCGGGATAAAAACTTTCATCTTCATTTACATACCGGTATTAGAGGAAAAGTACACTTTTTGCCCTAACTTAGCCCGCCCTCCACAGATGCATAGTTGGCTTGATCCTATAGTTGCAGCCTCTGGTGTTGTTTTCCATCCAACATCGCAATCCTCCTCACTGTCCCGCCTGGCCATGCACATTACAGCCTCCTAGACTTCTATGGGGCTGTAGTATCCCTGGGACACAAGGAAGCCACCACACAGAAGTCTATGATACTGTAATGTGCAGGGAGAAGGAGACTTGCAGCCCTGGATGTAAACAGAAGTAGGGACACCAGCACTCCAGATGCAGATCAAATGCGTCTATTTGATGACGTAAATATCAAACTGGTGCAACGTTTCGGGGTCTCGCAGGATCCCCTTCCTCAGGCAAAACATGTAATGCACATGCATTTGGAGTGCTGGTGTCCCTACTTCTATCTGTGTACATAACGGCAGCACCCATCCAATTCTTATGGAACAAGCGGTCAAGAGTGCGATGGGTTCATGGACTTTCACTGGATGTAAACAAGCGCAGCAGGCTGCGGCCATCAGGTCAAGGTAAGTACACATCTCTGTGGGGGGAGGGATTTGGTTAGCTCAGGGTAAAGGGCAAAAAGGATGAGTGCACTTATCCTTTAAGGCAGGGGTAGCAAACCTCCGGCCCTCCTTCTGTGGTGGAACTACAAATCCCATGAGGCATTGCAAGATTCTCACAGTTGCAGACATGACTCCCGAAGAAAGATGCATCATGGGATTTGTAGTTTCACCACAGCTGGAGGGCCGGAGGTTTGCTACCCCTGCTTTAAGGGTTAGTGGATTTGTAGGCAACCTCTGCACCCCAGCTGTGGTGAAAATACAGATCCCATCATGCCTCTGGGAGTCATGCCTGTTGCTGTCAGTCTTGCACTGCCTCATGGGACTTGTAGATCCACAACAGCTAGAGCGCTGAGGTTGCTGACCTCTGGCCTAGTGATTCCAACTATTGAAACAAGAGGGTCAGAGTGGCAGTCAAGCAACTACCATTGTTGGGAGAGCTCAGCCTTGGCAGCCTGCATGTGGATGGAATACCGGCAGTCTCTAACATATATGACATAAATGCACACGCATGTTGTAGTCTTACATGAAGTGAATTTCTAAATAAATTTTTACTTGATACAATGTTTCAGAAACTTGCAGCTTTATTAACCAGAAATAGTTTTCCTCTCTCGTACCGCCGTCTCAGTATCTTTCTTTCCGTAAACTTGTAAAATCTGTATTGCATACTCTTATGATCACTCATGGTACCGCACAGGTATTTTTCTGGATGTGATGATGTCTCCTGGTACTTTCGATGACTGTCCTTCCTGTTTGTTTGGGAAGGGAGGGGGAGTTTTGATTAGTGCGGAGACTGGCCCATAGGGAGGGGAGAGCCGGGAGCAGCCATTCTCTGGTAAAGGAGAACTCTTTAGGAGGGCAGGATATGAGCTCAGAGAAAGTACAATAACAAGACCGAGAGCTGACACCTGGGGTCCGCCTTCCTTCCCGGGATCACCTGAGCTGCAGTGCCACCTGCTGGCAGCTCTTCGGCATTCCAGCTGCAGCATGTGTAATTTACAAAGCGAAGTCCACCTTATGCAATACATCTAGTAAATGCTGCAGCATGGATCTGATGATCAATGTGCGTTTACCATTTCTGTTAAATGAAGCCTGAAGAGCGTCGTTGTCTTGCAGGTGCAATGCACAGGCTTTTGTGTTGCAGGTGCAATGCACAGGCTTTTGTGTTGCGGGTGTAGGAGTTGTGTTGCAGGTGCAATGCACAGGCTGTTGTGTTGCGGGTGTAGGAGTTGTGTTGCAGGTGCAATGCACAGGCTGTTGCAAAGTCTTCCCTCAGCCTTGGGTCCGTATGGAGGTATAGACCTGCTGTTATGGGGCTAGAGGAAGTGCGTTAGGATGATAGGACTGCCGCTGTGGCAGATGGGACCTGCAATGACTGCAAACAACCCTTATGCATGAATGACACAGGCATACACACATACAGCTGAAATTTCAGATGAAGCGCACTGCGATTCAGGTAAGTGCGGAATGATTTGGGTTTTGAGTATGTGACCTGCTTCATGTTACACCCTAAGCTCTCATTCACACGACTAAGAGCCAGCCCGTACAAATCCGTGCTGCGTGCACAGCCGTATCAGGCCACTCCCGGGAAGGACACGTGCTGCGTGCGACTTGTACGCAGCAGTCTGTACTTCTCTATAGGAGTACGCCGCCATGCGCTCACCCGAACTGCATGTCTGTGCGGGTGCCGGTGTCCCGGCTCGGACACAGACAGGATCCATCCTGTCAGCATAGGAGTACAGACACCCGCACGAACGCGCAGTTCGGGTGAGCGTACGGCCGCGTACTCCCATAGAGAAGAACAGGCTGCTGCATACAAATCACACGCAGCACCTGTCCATCCCAGGAGCGGTCCGATACAGCCGTGCACGGATCTGTACGGGCCGGCTGTTAGTCGTGTGAATGAGGGCTAAATATGAGTGTAAAAGGAAGCATGGTATAAAACCTGGACTTAGGCTTTAGTGCTTGTTCACTCCATTTGGTCAAGATCTGGAGCAGATCTGCAGATGTGGTGCTATGCGTGCTGTGCGTTTTACCGCGTTCCAGTTAAAAAAGTTTGGGGGGAGTGGAGCTGTCAGTATGTTAGCTGCAGTGCGGTGCGTTTTCGACGCTTTCGTGCGTTTCCGGAGCGGAGAAAATGTGACATGCAGTATTTTTTTCTGTCCGGAACAGACTGCGCTGGTGAGAACTGTAGCCCATAAAACGCATAGGGAGACATTGGGATGCATTTTGGGTGCAGGAGCGCACGGTTCTGGTTCGGACAGAATCCGGACATCGTGTGGACAAGCCCTTGAAGCAGATCTCCAGGATTTTTAAAAGTTAACCCTTGCTGTGGGGCTACCTGTACTACTCGTTTTGGTATAGGGGACAGAATAAAGAAAATACACTCACCCGGTCCTTGTGCAGTGACCACTTGCCTCTCTCCCCCTCTGCTCTGGCTGTGGAATTTCCCTCAGCATCCTCATGTCTAATGCGAGTGAATGGACCTTGGATGGACTTGATGTCATGGGTCCACAGACCGCCAGAGCCCGGGGGAGAAGAGGTTGTGGAGACTGATCTATCAGCCAAGCGGGATCGAGGATCAGCTAAGTATATTTTCTTTCTTTGCGCCCCTGGACCAGTAAAAGAAGTCCACCCTTACATTGCGGGGTTAGCCTAACTGCAAGGGTTAACTCTTTGGAAATCCTTCCTCCCTCAAGGAAGGTTCCTCGAGTGTATAATCCAAGTAGCATCAGACGTATTGCAGCTTTTGAAGCATTAGCTGGTCAATATAAATGGATACGAAGATCGCGTGGATAGTTGCAATGTAGCTGCAACCAAAATGTTATTTGGTTTTGAATAGAGTGGGCGGGGTTTATACGTTCAGGTCTTTTTGCTGCCGTCTGGGTCCATGTTCATACCGGGCCATAAAGTGACAAAATCTAATATGTCACATTGCTATCGGCACCGGAGAAGAGGGATAATCTCTCAATGTGGACGCCTTATCCCAGGGTCAGTTTGTCAAGTGTCTTCACTTTGAGGATTTTTCCTCTGGCTTTCCATATTCTCCTTCCATATTTGTATATTTCACAGTTCTGTTCTCATTTCCCCTTTGCTGAGTTCTGTTCTCTTCCATAGGAAGCATCAGCGGAATGACGGTGACTATAAAGAATCCTTTCAATGTGGTGGTCTTATTCCAGCCGGTCACTCTACAGTGCAATTACCAGACCTCGGCTCAGCAGCCTCCCATGGTGCAATGGAAGTACAAGTCGTTCTGCAGGGATCGCATCGCCGATGCTTTCAGCCCAACCAGCCAGAACAACCAGATCAATAATCAGATTCAGGCTGCCAATCCCGGCTTCAATCCGTACGTGGAGTGCCAAGATACCAGCCGTACCGTCCGCATCGTGGCCACCAAACAAGGCAACGCTGTCACTCTGGGCGACTTTTACCAGGGACGTAAAATCACTATTAATAACAGTAGGTGACTTTATTTTGGTATTAGTTTTGAGCTTTTGTTGTGTTTGTGATGTAAAGTTTTGGCAGATCTGCATTTAAATTGTAGATAATAGACTCAAATTAATGCAGCTTTGTATTAAAGTAGTACTGAATGCTATTTTATTTTTCCCTAACGCATTCTCTGCATTAAGGTAAAAAGCACCCCATTACCTCCCCCCCCCCACCTCCAAACACATACTCCATGTTCACAGCCGCTGACTCCCAGACAATCTACGGTGTGTCCTGAAGTTCCCGTGTTCTATCAAAGATTGTGACTGGGTTGGAATGCATGACCGATGACGTGGTCACACATTTTAAAGTAACCCCTCCCACTTTTTCGGCTGTGCAATATGTGACCGGCAAAAGGTGAAGAATTCCAAGGCTTTCTCAGGGCAGATCGGCATCGCAAATCATGTGCAGGAGAACCGATCTGCCCTGAAACAGCTGATCGGTCCTGAAATCTCACTTCTATCCGACTTTGTGAGTGCGATCTCACGTTCCACAAACTCAAATAGAAATGACATTTCAGGACCAATCAGCTGTTCCAGGGCAGATCAGTTCTCCTGCACATACCATCTGCGATGCCGATCTGCCCTGGAACAGCTAAGAAAGTGTTGGAATTCTTCACCTTTTGCCGGTCACATATTCCACTGTCGAAAATGTGGGCGGGGTTACGTTATAATGTATGACCACGTCATCTGTCACACATTCTAACACAGTCACAAAGTTTGATAGAACACTGGGTTGGTAGGAGGGATCCTAAGGCCACATAGAGCAGGGCAGCAATATGCTGCTGCACCTGCCTGTCAAGATACTGTGAGGGATGAGGCGGGGACAGAGGCGTGGCTTGTGCTGTGTATGTCAATGGACACACACAGTGCAGCTCCGTTCCTGGCAGGGAGCGTGCAACATGCTAGGCAAAGGAGACCCCCGTAAACAGGAGGGGAGGGGGCCCACAGTATATCAACTTAAAATTAATGAAACGGGAAGAGGAAAAAAAAAAAAAGTACAAGTGTATCTCCCCTAGAGTAAAAAAAAAAAAGAAGGGTTTAATATCACTTTAATCGATGCATCACATGTAAAGTGCAGAAATTGGTGTCAGTTGCTGTACAGCAGATACCCAACCCAGGGGGGTGGTGGGGGGATAAAGCAACACAAGGAGCTAGTTGTGTTGCAGTGCTTAAGGGATGTGCTGATAGGAGAAAGCAGTGCTAAAGGGATGTTTATAGTTGAAGAGGGCAGAGGGACAGAGATGAGCTTATCAGTCTGCTGCTTCTTTTTCACTATCCAATCACAGGCTGATGTAGAGTGACGACCTGGTTTAGTGTTCCCTAGAAAACAAAAAAGGTGCTGTGCTGTTTGGCAGAGCTGTGTGAGGTTCTTTCCTGGATGGACACAAGTATAAATCCTTTGACAGATAGTCCTGATATATATTTAACTTTTCCTTATTCTGTTCAGCGTTGAGTGCGTGATCCTCCCGTAATGATGTTGTTATTGCACGTTTGCAGATGCAGATCTCTCGCTTGAGCAGACGGCGTGGGGAGACAGTGGAGTTTACTACTGTACGGTATTATCTTCCCAGGATCTCTCGGGGAATAATGAGGCTTACGCTGAACTGCTGGTGTTGGGTAAGAATGTCACAGGATTTTCAGAAACATTCTATTCTATGAGCAGAGCAATAGAGAGCAATAATGCTTTTGTGTATGTCTTGCATACAATTTTCTCAGGGACTCCCCTAACTGTTAGTGATGCAATGCCCCAATGTTACATACTGTATATGATGGAGCTGCCCATGCTTCACGCCTGCGACTTTTGACATTTATCACCAGGATACAGGAGCATCAATACCCAAAACCGTTTGCCATCCCTTCTGAACCTTACCCCATTACCAAAACCCTGCTTCTTTTTCATTGCCTCTATGCGAACTATCATCCCCACAGGTATTGAAGGTCCCCTTCTTCCCTCAGATGAAAGACTTGGTCAGTGAGCCTATTGATGAGACTGGGTCAGTGAGCTGAGCCTATTGATGGGGATGCAAAATCAGACGGCCTACTTCTACGATGCTTAAGACCAATGTAATGCGTTGCAGAGCACCTTCATTCTCTTCATGGACACACCTGCGTTTAAGACTTGCATTCCCATGATTTAAATGGGCTCCAGACTCTTAATTCTGATTCTCATTGCCACCCGGTAGAGCCACTTATCATCCTGAGCTTGCTGGGGTCTTTTTAGGGGTTTTATGATGGGGGCAGAGCCACCATGCGACGCACACCCTCTCCTCCTTCCTTCCCCATCTTTTCTCTTTTCTCTCACTCTGTTTCCTATTCTGACAGTTGTGGTCTGCCAACCAATCTGTAGGGATTCTATGAATTATCCCTGGTTTGAGACGTTTTGAACTGACTGCTCACTAAGATCGATGCCGGTATTTTAGTTAAATTAACTCCGCATTTAATCTTTGTCTTTGAGAGGAATCAGAGTGCACGGAGTAGCACTGTATATGTGATAATTTTTCATACTGTTTAATTTCTATTTAAGTGTTCGCACTATATTTAAAATTTGTCACGATTTAGAGATTGGGATTTTAGAATTTGTTTTTGTTTTTCTTATACACGACCAATCTGTGACACCGAGTCAATTATATTTGAATTGGTGTCTTTGAATAGATTGTCACATCATTAAGAGGTTTGTTTGGACAAACCATGTACACTTAATACACAGAAACACCTAATCAATACACCGGCTGGTGATTGAAAACCCTTTTCCCACACCTGATTGTTGTATTGCACAATTATTACCGAGGTAGTGACTACCGAGATTTATAATTTTTTCACAGTAGAATCTGAACTTAGTAACTTCTTCACGTCCTATAGAGCACACATATTTTATTTATGTTTGTCGAGACCGAGTGCAACTCACTTGCGATATAATAAGTTCACTTGCACACATAGTTGCGGCTGGTCGAACTAATTATTTAGTTATTTAGTTTTCACACCTAGCGCAGTGATTCTTGAATTACTAATCTGTAGTTTTGTTACCTCGTTCTATTCATGCAGATTTCTTTTGTGAAGTAGTAGCCAAATTTTCCTGCAACACTTTGTACCATGCATGGCAGTTATCTGTGGCTGTTTGTTGTACTATCCTGGTTTTTATCATGTTCATGAAAGAAAAAGATTATTTTACGTAAAAGAAATAGGAACCCGGCTCAACAATAAAGTGTTCGTATATGCCACTGGTGTGTAATATCTCCTCCTATAAAGCAGCCTCCCCAAGTGGCCCTCGGAGCGCCCAAACCCTGGCACCCTATCCCTTGCCAACTATTCTCATAATCAATTATTGTCGATTAGTTGTTGCAGCCCTAATCCTGATAGGCTTATTTTGCATGTGGTCCCAGGTTTATAGACAGGGATCGGTCCGGGTTGTGCACCAGCACATGGGCTGCCCATTATCTGGCAGCTATACAGCTTGCTGTACACACCGTTCTTATACAAGCTGTAACCTGTGTGAACTAGGCCTAAAAAGTTGATTGATCAGAACTAGGGATGCACCGATATATCGGCGCCGAAACACCGGCCGAAAATGGCACTCTTGGCATAATGCCGAAAGAGCCATGTTTCGGCCAATACATCGGCGCATCCCTGGTTTCTTTCCTCCCCGCTGGGCGCTGCTCTGTGTTCCAGCGGGGAGAAAAGAAAGTGACGGCCGAGCGCTGTGAGTGGCCAGTGTCTCTCCTCCCACACCGCTCAGCCGCCTATCACAGTCCGGCAAAGCGGTGGGGGGGCGGAGACGGCGCTGTCACAGGCTGGGCTTTCCTCTCTACACCGCTCGATCAGCCTCCAGTGGCGGCGTGTGTCAGTGTCAGAGAGAAAAGCAAGGTACACACACCCAGTGATCAGTGATCGCTCAGTGTTTGTAAATAATTGAGCATATGGTATGGTTACTATATCAATTATAAATGAATGGGAGTGATCTACATCCCCTCCTGTCCATTTAAAAGGGATATATCAGGGGTCTGTTTAGACCCCTAATATTTCCCCAAAGCCCCTAAAAGTAAAGTAAAACATAAAAATATTTAATAAAAAATGAAATAATACATAAAACTAAATATAAAAAAAATATTTAAAAAAAATTTGAAAAAATAAAAAACATTTTCGGTATCGGTTTCGGCCTGACAATTTTTTTTGTTTCGGTTTTAAAATTTTAATCAGAACTGAAGCAACTGCGAACCTGTTGCCTGTATCAACCTATACGGTGCCTTGTTTCATGTACCTAGGGCATGTAGGAATCATACGGTATCAAAGGAAGCCGCTGCTCATAAACCTGCAGTCCACCGGTCTTTGTGGCTACTGGTGGCGACCGATGGAGCTTGTCAGCGTTCCCCATATGGAATAAAGAAAGAAGCCGGCTGCACTCCTGTTATATCAGCCTTGGCAGATCATGGTCTGTGCTGACTTTTTTTGTGATCTTGTCCTGGAACAATAAAGTTATGTCTATGCTGATGCCATTGGGGGTGCAGCCAGATTCTTTGTTCCAGTATATGAATCTTGCTGGTTTCTCTGTGGGGGCTGTTGCATTTTTTGGTGCAGTAATACATTTACTGATTGGAGCTTCCTGACGTCCCCAGTGCTGGATGAAAGGTTCACCCACAGCGCAAAAGTTCTGTGTGCGCACACCGGCAGCAAGGAGGTAAAGCCAGTGTACTGTGATGAAGCTAAGGAACTGTGGAAGTGAAATAGGTGGAGTTGTCCTCGGGTGGATTTCATTTTAATCTTGTTCAAACATGTGACTAACTTTTCTTGGCAGGTGTCCTATTAACATTACTGATTAATGGTGATTTTAATACTGCTCCCTCAAGCTTGCTGATGTCATTAGGACGAGCACCAAAATGTGTTTTGTTTTTTTTCAGGGTTTTGCCTAATCTGTGATGAGACCTTTATGTCCTACTTTGTTAGCCGTTCGCTTCCAGCATGCAAAAGAGCTTTTCTGTTACTGATAATTGAGCAGATGGCTTAAAGTGAACCTTCCCCGCCGCATTAGAGGCTGGCTTTGGCATTTTGTATTTTAATGAAAGGGGTGGGGTTAGCATTAGAAGTGGGTGTGGCGTGAGCCATAATGCCTGGCAAATCAAATCTTAAAGTGACATTAAACCCTCAGATTTTTTAACATAAACCAATACTGTAATGTGTGCCTTACTGTAATCCATGGTAGTTTCCCTTCTCTTTGCTGCTCTTCCTTATAAATCCTCATGTCTTCTCATGCTGGGGGAGAACTTCCCTTTGCAGCTGAGTGCCTCTTCCTGTAGTGCTGGCTCAGGTTGTGAACCTTCACACAGACACCATGTATCCATTCCAGAGACAAGGCAGTCTGCTGCAAAACAGAAGTTCTGCCCAGCATGAGAAGAGATACGGATTTAAAAGGAAGAGCAGCAAAGAGAAGGGGAAACAACCATGGATTACAGTAAGGCGCACATTACAGTATTTTATGTTCAAAAATCTGAGGGTTTAATGTCACTTTAACCCTTGCTGTGGGGCCACCCCTGCACTGCAAGGGTGAAGTGATTGTTTTGTCAAGGGAGCTAAATAGCAGTTATACTCACCAAAACCATGATCCCAGCTGGTTTCTACACCGCTCCCTCCAGCCTCATCCGCTCCAGCTATGGTATGTCCCTTGGCATCTTGTACACTGTATAAGACATGATGACTGCGGGACCTTAGACCACTAGAGCAGAGAGGGAAGTGAGGCTGAAGGGGCTGGTCTAAGACCAAGCCAGGATTGTGGTTCGGGTGAGTATCGTTTTTATTTTAGCTCCCTAGACTAAACAAGCACTTAACCCTTGCAGTGATGGGGGCACCTCCATTACAAGGGTTAAGATTTTATTTGCCCGGAGTTTACTTAGTGGAGAATTCCGTGCCCCATCTTCAGCCTGGGCCTAGGATCTAAGTGACTTCACAGGGACACAAGTATTGAAAATCAACTTGCAGACACCACTTCAGCACTGCTGTTACCTTAAAACTGAACTCTAGATACTACAGTGTCCATAAGGGATATAAATCAATTTTGTGTGAAGCTAATACATTTACAAACCGAGATATTACCTTTATAAATGTAGCAGTCATGTCAGCACTGTGTTGCACATAACCTGGGAGGGACCAAAGTTGTGGGAGGGGCCCTGCAGGCAAAACTACAGGAAGGAAGTGGAGACCAGACCAGTCACCCTGCACAAGGAGAGATCAGCTATGAGCGATCTTTATTATAGGAGGGGGCGGAGACCAGATCAGTCACCCTGCACAAGGAGAGATCAGCTATGAGCGATCTTTATTATAGGAGGGGGCGGAGACCAGACCAGACACCCTATACAAGGGGAGAGAGCAGCAGTGACCAAAGCTCCACCTCTCATACCGCTACCCAAGATTGAGGGCTAGTTCACAAGTGCAGAGAAGAGCAGAGCAAATGCACCAAATTGTATTCCAATGGCATTTTGGGCTCTAGTTCACACCACAGCATTCACTTCCAGTGCATGTGGAAAAACTGCCGCATGCCCCATTTTTTTCTGCTCGAACGCACCAAAACACATGTAAATGAAAAAAAAATTGAAACGCACTGGACCACACCTGAAAGCCCATTTTAAGCTAAACAAAAAACCTGCACTGGAACACATGATAAAAGTGTCAAAAGGCACTACATATGCAGAAATGCATTCAGATCGGCTCCAGGTCTGGTGTGAACAAGCCCTTAAGGAAAAGTGCACATGACTTGTATTTAGACAATATTTTCCAATAGCGGAGTTCATCTTTAGGCATTTTCTAGGTCACTTTGTCAGTGGGGCTGGTGATCCTTTAACTATAGAGCAGGTATTGATCCTGAGCTTTAAAAGGAACTTGTTGGGATATTTGTACGAGAGCCGCCATTTCATCGCCGTGTCTTCACTACTCGGCCAGTTGGTGACAAGTATGCAGTCCAGCCGTCCTGACTCTTCACTGGCTTTGAGTCAGTGATTTTAACTGTCAGCCGCTGAGCTTGCACAATTAAAGAAACGCCAGTACTTTTTCAATAATCGATTATAATCGATTATGTCGATTTAGTTGTTGCAGCCCTAAGTGGCAGCTTCCATATTTCTATAATAAGGTTCCCTTTAAGTGTGGATTCGTATCTGTGATTTTAAAGGAGAACTATGGGGTTAAGGCTTTTCCCCATAGTTCTAAGGGTAACGGGAGGACACAAACTAGCGTCCTCCCGTCACCCTAAGCTCAGTATAACGCAAGCCCAGCTGGGTGAGTGACAGTTGGCTCTGCCTATCTAGAGGCAGAGCCAGCTGTACCCGCCCCCTCCCCTGTTTGCTCCGCCAGTCAGGATCCTCCGCCGTGGAGGATCGGAGCGGGGGGAATCCAGCCCCTCCACTGTCACAGCAGAGAGCCGTGACAGGATCGAGAGGTGAGCGAGCGCCGGTATGTGTTCGCTCACCTCCCGATCTACTGAGCCGACCTGTGACAGTCTCATTGTCACAGGTCGGCTAGAACTATGAGGTGAGTGAAAAGCACTCGCCTCATAGTTCTCTTAAGTGCTGGAAGGTTTTAGTCATCTGAGAAGTATGGATGTTCTATCAGTACATTGATATGTAAGAATGGACTTCACTTGTCGCTGATGTATACACACTGCCATCTAGAGGCCACTTTAGAGAAAGGCGAAGCAAATTTATTTGTCTAGGAGTGATAAGTTTTTGGTGTTTTTAGTAAAAATTAGGGCTGTTACTGATTAAAATTTTCGTGTTCGATTTAAAAAAAATGTTTTTAAATCTATTAATCTATTCATTTCGATTAATTATAACGCACATACAGATCCAACTACATTGGCCTATACACATACAGCACAGCAATGAAGTAATAAACTCAGAATAATAACGTGCTGGATTAGTGTGATCGACGTCACCGGACTCCTCCCCCTTACCTTCGTTAGCCGACGGAGCCACTTGGGGACATCGACGTCACCGGACTCCTCCCCCCCTTCCCTTCGTTAGCCGACGGAGCCACTTGGGGAAGGGGGAGGAGTCGGGTGACGTCGATGTCCGTGACGTCACCGGATCTCCAACGGAACTCCCGGAAGCCGACGGACAGGTGAGTATTTTCATTAGCGATCAAAAAAAATTTAATCGATCTAAAAGATTAACGATTAATCGAGAAATTAATCGTTAATTTGCACAGCCCTAGTAAAAATGTAATTCTCTGATTTTAAAGTGATCGTTAAATCTTAAAAATGCATTCAAGAGCCTTCCCTATTAACAAAAATATATCTTATTTGTGTATCACTCGGCTGTAGATCCTCAAATCATCTCTGAATTGGTGCTGACACTGTCCTTCCTTCTGGAGAGTGACTACTTTTGTTCCCCATGGTCCCTGTGTGTGTTGTAAAGTAGTCACCGCTCCAAGCTCACTCCATGATGGGCTACCATCTCAGTACAAATTGGTAAACTAAACACGAGATTGTAGTCCATCCCGGGAGTGAGCATGATTTGATTCGAGCGATACACATATAAGATACATTTGTTTAATATAAAAGGCACGGACAAAAAAAGGAACAGGCGCACTACCCAGGGGTACAAATTTGGCTGGAAAAAGTAAAACAGGGCAATGGCTACAATGTGCGAACTCTTAGAGACAGGGAGAGGGACCCTGTGGTAGCAAAATCAGACGTGTGTGTGTAAGAGCGCTACTACAGTTTGAATGCAATTAAAAAATAATACCGTATTTTTCGCTCTATAAGACGCACTTTTTTCCCCCCAAAATGAGGGGGAAAATGTGCCTGCGTCTTATGGAGCGAATCCCGACGCCCGAGACATGCAGTTTCAGGCGCCGGGCGAGTAGTAGGAGCCACTGCTCGTTTAATACGAGTGATCTAATGAGATCACTCGTATTAAAACCGAGCAGCGGCGACGATCGAGATCACCATAGAGCAGACGAAGCACTGACTTTCTTCGTCTGCTCTGTGTGATCACTGAGACCGTGGCGCTGTAACCACAGCGCCACCTGTCTCAGCGGTCACTAACTGCAGCTTCTGTCATAGAAGCTGTGACAGAAGCTACGGTCTGTCGAGTGCTCCATAAGGTGCGTCTTATGGACCGCAAAATACGGTAAATAACAATAAAATCTCACACTTAGGATGACCTGAATGCAATTAAAAATGACTCGCATTTAAGGTGTCCTGGGGAACACTGGAGGTGGTCGAGTGGAACCCTTTGAAAGATGCAGCCGGGTGAAGCCCAGTGGTGTGGACGGCTGAGAGCATATATGCATGAAATGATGAGAGGAACAGCTGTCTGCCGCAAGGGAACTCAGCTGGCCGGGCTGAGCCGTTGCGGCCGAAGACACTGGGTAACTGGATGCTGTGTGACGGGAACTGTCAGCGGCCGTCTCTATGTCAGGTGTATCGAGATAGAGGGGTAGTGTCGTAGGGAACGAACTACGGCTGAAACAGTAGGAGGGGTATTGCACAGCAGTTGAAGGTGTTGTATATGAGGAAGAATAGCTACGCGTTTGGAGGCGAAGCCTCTTTGTCAAGCTTGGGTGAAGTGGAAGAAACGGATTAGCGGGAAACCCGAGATTTTAGAAAACTGACAGCTGGGTGGGAACAACACTCGTAACGCTGTCCTGATAGGTGTATAAGAATAGGGGGGCGGATCGGGCATAACAGACCGGCCATAAGCGTCTCGGGCAGCATTAGGCTAAGCGCCTGCAGATCGCGTCTCACTAGCAATCCATTTTACAGGAATGACTGAAAAATAAAGGGCAAAGGATTTTAAAAATAAACACGATATGCAAATTTTTTTTAGAAAGGTTTGTTAAAACGAGTGGGACCTATATTATTAGTGTCAATTTATTAATAAAAGCTGTATGAAAAGTAAAAAGATGCTGATATTGGTATCACTTTCAATATCAGGTGTAACTAAAAGCTTCTTTTAAAAACAATTGGAATAAAAGTATGCCAAGGGGTATTTGTATTTTGTTTGCTTATAGAATGGTATGCATTTCTATCTCCTCATTGAGACCTATTGGAACCAGGGTATTAAGTTTGTAGATCCAATAGGTCTCTCTTTTGCAGAGGAGATGGAACCTTTCCGATGGAGATAGATGGTTTGGGATGTGTTCGATGGCGAGCACTTAGAGCTTTTGGATATTTTTATTATGCTTGAACGTGAAGTGTCGAGGGACGCTATGTTCTACGTCTCCTTTCTCTATCCGGCGTCTGTGATCACCTATTCTAGCCCGTAGAGGTCTTATTGTCCGGCCCACATAGATAAGACCGCATGGGCATTTCAGTCCATACACCACGTGATCATGTGAGCACGTTATAAATTGTTTGATGTAGGAGTTTTGGAGATGGTCATGGAACTTTGACCATGCTGAATGAACTGGCGTGTCAAACATCTGTTTTTTTTTTGCACTGGAATACTCTGGTTCTATTGTCAAATAAAACATGTTTGGGACGGGCTTCTGGGCCTAGGAAAGATCGGCTCGGGCCTACCATATTTTTGACACTCCTGGACTTTCTGAAGTTGATGGACGGATTGGTCGGTAGATGGGGACCCAATTTGGGGTCTTTTTGTAGAATATGCCAATGTTTGCGTATGACTTTCTGTATAGCTGTGAACCCGTTGTTAAAGGTGGTGATGAAACGTATATTCCTGTCATCCCTGGCGATATGATGTGTGGAGCCCACAGATTGGTCTGTTTCAGAGTAGCTAGAAAAGGCCTCCTTGATGATTTCCTCTGGATATTCCTTTTCTCTAAATTTGCTGAGGAGGAGTTGGCTAGATGTGACGTAATCAGTGCTCTGGGTGCAATTTCTCCTCAGTCTACAGAATTGGCTCTTAGGTATATTTTTCTTCCACCTAGGATGATGGCAACTTTTGAAATGAAGGTAAGAATTGCCTCCTGTTGGTTTTACGTGGTTGCTTGTAATGTCCTGGTCCTTTTTAAAGGTTTAGAAATACCAATTTTGGTGTTATTGGACTCACAAGTGAAGGACAACCCAAATTGGTTGTCATTACAATGAGCAAGAAAATCAGGCACACTATTGGTGGGACCATCCCAAATAATCAGGATGTCATCAATATACCTGCCATAGAACACCAACCGTTTAGCGAATGGGTTGTTACTCCAGATGTGTAATGCCTCCCAGTGGCCCATAGTCAAATTGGCATAGCTTGGAGCAAAATGTGCCTCCATTGCTGTCCCTTGTGTCTTTAGATAGAACTTGCCCAAGAAAGAGAAATAGTTATGGGTAAGGGTAGGTATGGGTAAGGTAGTTTTAATGCATTTTTAGGATTTAACGCCTGAGTTTAGTGTCACTTTAACTAGTAAATGTGAAGATTCTAACACAGAATAGTACACACAATCACTAAAGGACATAAAACCACATATTATATTCCATTCATATAAACATCCCCGTGTTGTAATTTTTGATCATCTGTCAGGTCATTTTTTTTTCCACAGGGATTATAATTTTCTCCAGTTTATACATTTTGTACCCCTTTTATAATTAGGGGTTTTTTTTCGGCACAAATCTCCATTTAGTAACGTGTTTTTCTTTTGTCCCGTAGGTAAAACCTCAGAGGTCTTTGAACTGTTACCAGACTTTCAGATAGATAACATTGAAGGTAACTGTTCCATGACCAGCTACCTCACTCCCCCCCCCATATACAATAACAACTTTACTTCACCCCCAAATCTAAATTAACCACAAGTCAGTGTATATAAAAGAGCCAATAACATTGTCAGATGTGTTTGCCACAGTTTTAGGAAGAAATTTTTGGACATAGGTCAGTTTTAGCAAAAAGTGAATTGGCAATTAGCATGTCATAATCTTGATTTGTGCATGCAGATCAGACAAATATTCCTAAATATTTGAGTGAATCAAAAGTTAAGAGTAAGTTCACTTTCTGACAAAAATGAGACGAAATTAACTTGCCAGCATCACCCTGCCACCTCTCCCATACCTGCGAGGTGCCCCTGACAGCCAGTGTACATTCTTAGCCCAGCATGTATGTAAGGAGCATGCGGCTCGCTAATGGCAAGCGCATATTGGTCACCATGGTCATGTGACCGTACACCGGCTGGCGGAGGTGGCAGGGGGGTGTCGGTAAATACATTTTCTGACATTCTGTAAGAAAGTGAACTTGCCCTTTAATACATCATACTTCTTGCTCGCTTACTATACAGATGCTGTTGGTATTTTTTAATTTCTTTGGGCTCTTTTAGAAATCTTGGGAACCAAATTCTGTTTTGAATCCTTTCCATTATTTCCTATATTTACTTTTATTGGCAAACAGATTTGTGAATGTTAAAATCAGCCTTTTTAATACTGGACTAACTTGTGATTCAGGGTCTGCGGTAATAATGGGACAGTGAGGCAATCCTTAGACCAAATATTTTTAGGACCTCTCAGGCAGTTTTGTCTGTATTCTCTCAATACATATTTTCAATTTTAATTGAATAGAAGTATTCATTCCTGAGTATCTGGAACTCGCGGTAACATTGCACTAAAAGGCCAGAAGTACATTTTTTCTATGTATTGGAACTAATACAAAGGTTCTGTTTTGCTTACAATGTTTCTATCATTTTGTCCAGCTTGTACTGCTACTGTAGCAATCTTTTGGTAGCATGTTTCCTTCTGCTTTATTTTCCTAATTCTGGTGCGGTTTGGTCCCTGTTTTTAGGTTTGTCACTCGCTTGGTTTGGTATAGATCGGCGTAGAGTACTGTCCTCATGCCGATATTTAGGGCGCACTTTTGGTCTTCTGCTTCGGAGGGCTTGCAGATCTTGCTGTGATGGTTTTATTAGACTGAATTCAATTTCAGATTCTTCTGGAAGTAATTCCTTATTTCTTCACGTATAAAAATATATAATCTTGTTCTATGGGTGACTTAAAGCGGTTCTTCTACCTCAGTGGCAAGGGTTGCCTATTCGAGTTGCCCCACTTCTACCCCCTGAACCGCTCCATAAAAGTGGCTCTTGCTGTTAGGGGGTTTATTAACTTTTTAGTTTTAAGTAATTGTCTCACTTTATCTCCTTTTATGTATTTCCTTGGTGGAGATATTTTGATATGTCTTCATTATGTTTTACCACCTTTTTGTTTTTCAGATTGGCTGTTCGTCGTCCTTATTGTCCTTAGCGCTTTCTTCTTCTTCCTGATGATTGGCATCTGCTGGTGCCAGTGCTGCCCACATACCTGCTGCTGCTATGTGAGCTGCCCTTGCTGCCCTGAGAAGTGCTGCTGCCCCAGAGCATGTAAGTGTGTCCCTCTGTTACCGCACCATGTTAGATTTATCTCTGGTATTAGCCGGTTCAGGTAGTAGTCACACCTTTTTGTTTCTTGAGTCTTAGAAGGTTAGACAGCTTGAATCCTAAAGGAGAAAGGTTGTCCTAGTCTTGGATTTTTTGAGTATTCTTTTAAAGTGAACCTGTCCTTTACTAGACAAAGTGACAGAAGGGCTAATGGAAATTATTTTTTTTATTGCATAACAAACATACTATGACTCTCCTGCAATAAAAGATTCCTACCTTCCTCCTTGCAAACATTTTATGGTGACACTGCAATGTCCAATCTTGGTTTCTGCCAAGTAATTTATCTCACTTGCTCATATGTGGGATTAATGTAATCCCGGCCCTGGGATAAAAGATGGCAGAATATTCCGAACCCAGAAAAACCTGGCTAGAAGATTCCACCTAGGGAGCTCAAACGTCACCTCGCTGGAGGGGGGGGGTGGGGGGTCATTATAGCTCTGATTTTAAACTTCCTTGACTCGCAATTTTGTTTTAGGTCAGTAACTAAAAGTATTGCGGCCATGGGGTCAGCATAACAGCCAGGCAATGAGCATATTTAGGAGTAGGATAGCAGTGGCACCCTCCATATGTCTCCCATGACCACTTCACTTGGGCAGCTCTGAAATACAAATTTTCAGGGCTGCTATTCTGTTATGGGAGCAGCCACTATTTCTGGGACAGAGCACATTTTGCAGCATCACACATGGTGGATTCATGCCATTAAAAAAAACAGCTCTTCCAGGAGCCTCAGGGGTACCAAGTAATGGTGATAATGAGAAATTCCTTTTAATCGTATCCGTAAACATGAATAGAAATTGAATTAGTTTGCACAGAACCAAATAATAAACCTAATCTTCATCTTTGTTTCCTCAGTGTATGAGGCGGGAAAGGCAGCTACAGCCGGAATACCCAGTATGTACGCCCCCAGTATGTATGCGCCTTCAATGTATTCCCATCCCAGCCAGATGAAAGTCCCGCCACCCGGATCTGTCATTCAGATGACGCCAATGCAGCCTATGTACAATGGATACGGAATGGATTATGATGCAGCAAGTTCAGGTCATTATTTTTGTTTTTCTGGTGGAACAATCTTCTAGATCTTCTATTGTCCGTAAAACTTTAAACCTCTTCCCTAAATGTTAATATGAGATTATCTCATTCTAGTGGGCGGACACAGTTCTCAGGCTCCTCTGATTCGGGACAATGATGTACCAGCTTCAGGTATGTGTATATGGGCATTATAGTGTGTTTATATATGAATGTATTGGGGCCGGGCTGGACACTGGAACAGAGCTGGATGTAACATCTGGAATGTTTAATTAACCTGTAACAATTTTTGAGTAATCAATTGGAATTTTTGCTGCATTAGATGAAACCAGATTTGCCGTGGACAGCTGAGCTGCTGCACATTTTACTCCAGTTTTTGTAAACCAGCCCCAGTTGCGGTTTAAATACCTGAGAGCGTGTTTTCGTCTAGTCTTTTTCAGCTGTTGCCTTCCTAGGAAAGGAGAAAGAGACTATCGTCTGTCCAAATGGTGCGTTTTAAATGTAACGGCACGTTGGCTTAGTGTTTAGCATTTCTGCTGCTTACAGTGCTGGGGCCTCGGTTCCAATCCCAGCCAGCACACACTTGGAGCTTGTGTGGGTTTCCTCCCACGTTCCAAAAGCTTGCTAATAAGCATGTCTAAAGGGACCCATGTATGTATGTATGTATGAATAGAGACCTTAGATTATAGTCTCTTGAGGGCATGGACTAATATATAAATGTATAGTATGTCAGGTACTGCGCATATAGTCGGCACTATATGAATGCCTCAACTAGCGATCACAATGGTGGTTTCCTTTTACTTATTTTTTTTATACATGGCAGATTTTTACTGACCAGTATTTGGATATAGCTGCCATGTTTTGCCGTTCCATTTTTGTAATGCACTTTTTTTTTTTTCATTACATGACGCAGTGCGTAGTGGGTATCGCATACAGGCCAACCAACAGGATGATTCCATGAGGGTCCTTTACTACATGGAGAAGGAGCTGGCAAACTTCGACCCAACAAGACCAACACCTCCCAACGCTAGATTTGAAAACGGTATGTTAGCTTGTCAGCCTGTTTATAAGTTTTACCACAATGGGATTACATTTATCAACATTTTTCCCCATTTCCACTACACCGGCTTGACCGGCTTACACATGATAGGCAAAGCTGGGATGTCGAAGTGTAGTTTAAAAAAAAAAGGGAGACTTTGACACCAAAAAAACCTTCTCCATTTTGCAAACAACGGTTACAAATTTCGCATCTCACTTGCATACTGGGACTACAGTCTTTAGTTACAAACTCTCTGGCATGACAACTCCTAAATCAGGAAAATCCTGTCTTTATATTTAAAGCTTTAGAAGCTGGTGACACCATTGGTGATGGATTTTGTACAGCAGTGTGGCCTGGATGTAAACTAAAAGCCAGTGTGTAGCACCGTATAGAGTCTGACTGCTGTGGGTAGTGCCTTTAAGCACTGGAGTGCACTTAAGTTTTCACCTTTAAAGGAGAACTATGAGATGAGTGATTTCCACTCACCTCATAGTTCTAAGCCGACCTGTGACAATGAGACTGTCACAGGTCGGCTCAGTAGATCGGGAGGTGAGCGAACACATACCGGGTTCCCTCACCTCTCGATCCTGTCACGGCTCTCTGCCGTGACAGGGGGAGGGGCTGGATTCCCCTCTCCCCACTCCGATCTGCCAGCGCTGACTGGCGGAACGGGAGGGGGCGGGTACAGCTGGCTCTGCCTCTAGATAGGCAGAGCCAGCTGTCACTCACGCAGCTGGGCGGATCCCGTCATCTACGTCGGGATCCGCTCCAGGTGTGGCGTCTCAGTATACCGCGAGCTGTAGCTCGCGGTATACTGAGCTTAGGGTAACGGGAGGACGCTAGTTTGTTTATGGGGAAAAACACTGACCCCATAGTTCTCCTTTAAGGATAAACTGTCACGTAAGCTGGCCACACGACTATAGATCATCTTCAGTCAAGCTACCTGAGCAATCTGATTGGATGCAGACATTGTTCAGGTATTTTGAGAGCCAGCGGGGCCGACTAGCAAGATACTGAAGCTTGGCCCAGTGCAAGATTCCTCCATCCACACAGTTTAGCATAGGTGGAGGAATCTATTGCACTTTTTCCATCTGACCACAGAAATCCTGCAGATAATCTATAGGTGTATGGCCAGCTTTAGTCCTTTCAGGGCAGAGCTAGTGTGCCTGCAGGTAGCCACCTCCACCCAGTTAGACCTACCTTTCCACGCTGCTTCCTTGCACTGCCAGAGCTTTTACCAATGGATTGGGCTTTCAGGTATGAGGTGGCTTGTGATTTCTCCCATCTCGTAGTGCTCAGACCTGAGCAGCTAATCATTAGTCCCAAACGCTGTCCTGCGGTGGGACCCATGATATCATCCTTCTGGCTTTAGGTTTATTTCAACTAGCAGCGGACAAGGTGCCAACATTTTTGATTTGTGGATTACCCTTTTGATAATTTTTTTCCCTTTTTAGCTACAGTAATGAGTGAAGTGAGCTCTTTACATGAGGATGATCAGAGAGGCAATCTCAGAAACGGACTGGATCGCTTGCGGAACCAAGGCATGTCTCCCATCCGGGATCTTGAAGATGAGAGCCTTCTGGGAAGTGACTACCGTCGCCCCCCAGCTTCTCGTCAGGACCCTTATGACGATAGATTCCGTCACGGCCCACCCATGGAGACACGTGGCCGGGCTCGCTCTGTAGACGAACTGGATGATTACGACAGACGAGACCGTTACCGTGACCCTCCCTCTGAGGGTCGAAGGCGCGGAAGACGCAACTCTGATGATGAAAGCAGCAGCCGAGGATATGGCCGAGGAAGAGACGGGCGCTCCCCTGACCCCCGGGATGACTACCATGGAGGTAGAAGAAGCCGCAGTAGAGACGACTTGCAGGAAGTGGGCCGCCACCGACAGGAGCCAGCGTATGATGACCGTTTCCTCGATGATGTTTTGCGCAAGAAGCAGCAGAAAGCTGGCAGCCGCGACGGTCTAGACAGCATCGCTAACTCTTCTCGCTCGGAAGGCAGAAAAAAACGCCATGACGATGATGATTTTCCACCGCCACCTCCTCCATATACGGAAACAGAATCGCTCTCCTCTAGAGGGAAGAAGCTGAAAAGGGTGAGTGAATTTTAAGATGAAATTAGAGGACGGCTTCCCTTTTGAGTCGTTTCCGGTAAAATAACTCGTATTCCTAAATAGTTGCCTTTTATCCCTGCACTGGAGGTCTTCACTGCTGCATTCTGGCTGCGACCTGAGCCTACCATGCATGCATTGCACTCTGCTCATTTATTCCTCTGGGTGGGTCCCTACTGTTCTTGTTGGCTGAGGGCTGTGATGAATGAATTGCATGCTTAGAAGGCTCAAGGTGCAGCCAGGACATTTGGCTCATAACAGACTTGAGCTGTTTTTTGGCCACTAGGCTCAGGCACTGTCGCATGCTCACCCATACCTAGAACCCCCGAGTGTAGCAGTAGCCAAACTCTGTCCCGTGTGGCTGTCTGTCCTGCAATGCCTTATGGGACTTGTAGTTGCACAAATAGTTTTTGGAGAGCCAAAGTTTGGCTATCCCTGCCTTGGAGCATGGGAGCGCGGGTCCCAATGGAGCATGAACTTGCCGCTGGGGTGGCTATTAGCAGACGCTGTCACTTTTCCTGATTGGTCGAACTAAGTTTCTCTTAAACTTCAGGCTGCAACTAATGACTCTTTTCATAGTTGGTTGGCCGATTTTTTTTTTTTTTTTTCGATTAAATCGGATCATCCTTAATGTAAAATAAAATACACAAATGCCGTGTTACAAACATAAAGTTACTTCAGAATAAAACTGCAGGCACAATTGTTTGCTATCGCATTGCACGGCATTGCGGTACCGTGCGGGCAATCACACTGTGGGTGGGAGGTGCGTTTGGGGTGCCATTGAAATGAAAGGCACTGCAACGCACCTCCCCATTTGTCAGGCGGAAAATTACTTTTTTCCCACCTTTTTTTTTTATAATTTTTTTTTTTAAATAATTGTATTCGCACATGGCGCTTGAATGGCTTCAGCCTGGGAATGAAGGCTGCCAGTGGCAAGATTCAGCAGACGGCAGCTGAATGTAAATTTCAACTTGCAATAGCCAATAGCAGACTGGCTATTGCACCCGCCCACTGCTTGCTGTGCCCTCCTCCCAGCATGGAGGAGAGCGCTAGGGGGATCCGAACAACTAATCAATAATGAACATAGTTGACAACTATGCTCATCGATTTAGTTGGTTGCAGCCCTACTTAAACTGAATTCCAGGTTCCCCCTCCCCACTGCAAGGATTAACTGCTCGTTTTGCCTAGGGGATGATAAATTCGATATACTCTACCTTATTCCTCGCGGGCAGGCCCTTGACGTCCTGCATTGTCCAGGGTGACGTCAGAGCATTGACTGGCAGGGCAGCGAAGGGAAGAATTTTCAAGGGACTGGTCTAATAAAGAGGAAGCCTGCAGGGAGAAAGGAATAAGGGAAGTACATCACCTTAATAGAAAACTATGGGGTAAGTGTTTGCCCCATAGTTCTCTTTAGGGTCACGGGAGGAAATATACGAGCGTCCTCCCGTCACCCAAAGCTCAGTATATCGCAAGCTATAGCTTGCGGTATACTGAGACTGCCGCAGCAGGGATGGATCCCGACAATGCCTTAGAGATCCACCCAGCTGCGTGATTGACAGCTGGCTCTGCCTATCTAGAGACAGAAACAGATGTGCCCGCCCTCTCCCCAGTCCCTTCCTCCAGTCAGCGCTGGAAGATCGGAGAAGGGGGGGGGGAATCTTGCTGCGTGAGGAACACACGCAGCAAGAGTACATTTTCATTACCCGAGATCAGCTTAGAATAAATGTTTTTTCTTTTTAAAAGATCCTTCAGTAGGAAAAGTATCCAATGCTCGCTTGTTTAAATAATGCTGAAAATAAACATTTAACTTCATACTTTGTAAACTTTCTCTTTTCAGGGTGAAGCTTTGAGTCGGGAGAGTTTGGTTGTTTGAGCCCTGAACCAAAAGAATGGACCAAAGCCATCAGTTTGTCAAGTGACCCTTCTGTAATTTTGTTGAATTCATATTCTTGTGCTTGACTGGGTAGCAGCACAATTTTTAAGGCATACGAGTAAAAGCAGGTTTTTGGTTTTATGTTTTTATTATTTTGGCAGAAACCGTTTTTTTTTTTTAATTTAATTGTGTAAATGTGAAAAAGGAAGTGGGGTTCATTCACCAGTCTGGTTACTCCCTACGCAGCCAAGCATGAGGTTAACTCCCCGGGGTGGATCACTGGTGTTTGTAATCAGCTACGGCCGCTCAGTCTATACAAATCAATGACCGGCTGACATCCACGGCGGTTCACATATAGCCGCACGCCAAGCGGTTACACGTGGCTAGGAACAGATGAGATGCTGTGAGTCCAAAGCCGCGCATCTGTCTCTAGCTGCATGTAACCACTCAGATGTCATCCGCCGCAGATGCTGTCATTGGTTTATACAGGCTCAGTGGCTGATCACAAACCCCTGTGATCCCTGCTGGAGGTGTACGCTCATTCCTGGTAGTGTACAGAGGTAACCGGCCATGTCAATGAGCCCTTTGATTTTACTCAATGTAAAATAGGCGAGTTTAAAATTGGGAAAAACTTTCTCGTTACAAGAAAGCCTGTGCACTATGACTATTGGAAGCCGAAGACTTAGAGTTGATTTTATATGTGTGGTTTTGTTTTTGTTTTTTTATTTCATTGGCCTTGTAAATAGTATTTTTCAACGATTCCTACTGATTTTATTCCTTAACTGGATTCATGCCTGCTGGTAGTGTTTTTCTAATTTTTTGGTTTTTTTTTTTAAATATACTGGTCTCAAAACCTCAATAAGGACCTAGAATCTTAAGCTGTAATCTGTTTATAATTAATAGCATTAAAGACCTGTTTTTCTTCGATTGTAAGACACTATCCCTTGTGTGCTCGAAGATGCTGGAACCCCGGAATAGTCCTGTTTGATATCGCTATCCAATACTGTTGCATTGGTGTTCACACTGGATTATGGGCTGGCAGATTTTACATGCCGCTGTTTTGTAATATATTGGAGATTGAAGCACCAAGCCACAGGTTACTAGTCCAGATGCAAATTCATTCCAATGCAATATAAAAGAATAGAATTTTATATAGAAGCCAATGGGGGGAATTTATTAAAACTGGAGCAGGTAGAATCTGGAGCAGTTGTCCACGGCAACCAATCAGCTTCTCTTTTCAGTTTGCTCAGCTAATATTTGAAAAAGTGACAGAGAAGCTGATTGGTTGCCGTGCAAATCTGCTCCAGTTTTGATAAATTCCCCCAATGTGTTTCGAGGGGCTAAACATTGCCTAAACCGGCTGTTGACGGACACTGTGCTTTATTGTGACACTAAACTCAGGAGATAAATCTTAAAAATACATCCAAGTACCCCAACTATTAACAACAATGTATCTTATTTGTGTATCACTCGGCTGTAGATCCTCCAATCATCTCTGAATTGGTGCTGACACTGTCCTTCCTTCTGGAGGGGGGCTACTTTTGTTCCCCATGGTCCCTGTGTGTGTTGTAAAGTAGTCACCGTTCCAAGCTCACTCCCGGGGTGGACTACAATCTCATGTTTAGTTTACTAATGTGTATTGAGATTGTAGTCCATCCCGGGAGTGAGCTTGGAGCGGTGACTACTTTACAACACACACACGGACCATGGGGAACAAAAGTAGTCACTCTCCAGAAGGAAGGACAGTGTCAGCACCAATTCACAGATGATTGGAGGATCTGCAGCCGAGTGATACACAAGAGACATTGGGGGGAATTTATCAAAACTGGAGCAGATTTGCACTGCAGCCAATTAGCTTCTTTCTCTCTCATTTTCAAAGCTTACCTGAAAAAACCTGAAGAGAGAACCTGATTGCCTTGGACAGCTGCTCCAGATTATTTCTGCTTCAGTTTTGATAAATCCCGCCATTGTTGTTCATAGTTAAGGGACTTGAATGCATTTTTAAGATTTAACTCCGGAGTTTAGTGTCCCTTTTATTATGCTACTTAAGAATATCGTATACATTGTATTCTTTACTCAGTCCAGTTTGTATACATTGTTTCCAATCCCCAGGCCCTGATTAAGGGGGGGGGGGGGTGATCTTTGGCCCCCAAACCGTTTTGGCTCATTTATAATTTGTATATGGACAAAGCTTGGTGCTTCGGTCTCAGATTCATACTATTTCCCGTTTTGCAGCATTGATCAGAAAACATTAATTGATGAGGGCAGAGCCTCAAAGCCACATGGCTACCTGAACTATGACACTACTATGTATATTTTACACTACAGGACTTTGTACATATTCACAGCGTGCTTAATTGTGTAGCAGCCAATCATGTGTGGGACCACGTTCTGCATTGGATGGAAGCAAACTTTTTATATTGCATACTGACTGTTCTAATAATTGACTGTAGAAGTTATTAAACACAAGATGCCTTTTTAATGCAATTTTTTTTTTTATTGGATACAGAATTAATGATTTTTTGCTCCGTCATGTTTTAGTTGTGGATATCACAGGAGACTGATAAAAGGCATCCTATGATTGGTTGCCGAGTTATAATAATGTCACGGAATATAAAGAAATTAATTGTATAGTGTTCTTTTTTTTTTTTTATCAAGCAAATTTCGTTCTCGGCTGAATAGTTGGCTACAATAAAAAAAAAAAAAAAAAGATGGGCAGGTAAGCTAGATGAACGTTTATAGACCTCTCTATGGTTTCTAGATCCTGTTCTTTTCAGGAAGTAGTGATGCAAACCTATACTGTGACTTAACACTCAGAGTGCTGGCTTTGCAAAAGGGTGCATTCCAATGAGAGATGAGCTGCGTCTTGCTGGACAAGGAAAGACTGGCTCCGTTCAAACATAGAAGTGAATAACAACTGAGCTGTGATCACTTTAAAAGGACATCTGTACCTTTAACTAAACCTGGGGTAGGCAAACGCCGGCCCCCCAGATGTGGCGAAACTCTAAACCCAATCATGCATCTGTTAATGGGAGTCATGCATGTGGCTGGGAGAATCCTGCAATGCCTCATGGGATTTGTAGTTCTACAACAGCTGGAAGTGGAGCACCCCTGACTTGACTATTAATACCCTGCCCCCATCCCTAGCATTAGTACTCGCCTCCATAGTGCTGCTTCCTTCGCTGTCTACACCCTTTGTGACTAAATTCTCTTGAGCCATGTCTTTGTAAATAGTCCCCATAGGTCTGAATAGGATCATATACCGAGCCCATTCATGCCTGTGGGGCCAGTGCTGAAGGGCCTTTAACACCAACAGGGGTTGTTGCAGCACTATGCAGGTAAGAAGCCGAGTTGGGAAAGAGGAGGGTTAGTTTGGTTTAGTTTAAGGAAGTTCATGATGGTCTAGGTCAGTGATGGGCAACTTCAGCCACCCAGCTGTGCTTTCACTACAAATCCCAGCATGCCTGTGGGCGTCAGTCTTGCAATGCCTCATGGGACTTGTATTTCCACAGCAGCTGGAGGGCCGGAGTTGCCCACCACTGGTGTAGGTAAAGATGCAGCAGTCCTATGACAGACATTGCTGTACGCCAGGGGGTGGACATAATAGAGTTGGATTCCAGAATACTAACAACTAGAGGAGAATTGGCGACCTGGCTCCCGGGATTTCTCCAGCCCTGTTGTACACAGAGCTGTATTCCTCTGTGCTAATACAGTGTGTGAATGACGGCTCCGTTCACCCATTGCATCTACAAGAGATGTTCTGTTGCTCAGCTGAAGAGCCTTGAAATATGGCTGCCGCAGCGCCTTCATGAAAAGTCCTGTCTGCCTTAGACCGCGTTCACATCAGGGTGGTTTGGCCGCGTTGATCCGCTGACATGAACGGCCCCATACATTGCTATGGGGACCGTGCGGCTCAGCGAGATCCGAACAGCCCCCCGCCCCAATTGCTCCCTGACCCTGATCAGTGCGGTTTCCGTACAGCTTTCACTAGAACCGCACTGTTCAGTTCAGCTTTGTGCGTTTTTAATTGCGTCTCAGTGTGGAAACGCAATTAATAACTCCCAAAACAGCCGTTTTTAAAATCAGCGCGGAAACCGTTCTGATCCGCAACCGGCCCGGTGTAAATGGGGCCCTACAGCTCCTCTAGACACTGAAACGTCTGAGTGACCTAACCTAAGAATCAGAAAACGGGTTATTTCTGTGACGCGGTGCTGTATCTTCTTGCAGTTCATTTATAGACACTGGTTTGATGATGTAATTTATAAAATCTTGTTTCTAGCGACTTTAAGTAATAAAATTTTGCATTTTTGTATTCTACCCTATTGTGTCGTCCCCTTCTTTTATACACAGGGTAGTCAGTGCTCAGGGAGTTGGCGAACCCAAGTTTCGGCTCCGATCTAGAAAACACCAGTGGGGGGGGGGAGGAGTATGGACACACGCACGGGGACCTTCCTCCTGGCCGGATTTAAACTCTTTCTATTAGATTCCAATTAAGAACAATTAAAAAAGAAAAGACATTTGCTGCACCCTTCAATTCCCTGCAATCCAATCTGCCACCCAGTGCTACCATTGTTCCTGACCAAACAACTGGAATTGCAGCGAAGATCAATCAAAGTGAATATTAATTGCCATTGTGTTCGGTCCCTTAAAGGAGAACTATGAGGTGAGTGCTTTTCACTCCCCTCCATAGTTCTAGCCGACCTGTGACAATGAGACTGTCACAGGTCGGCTCAGTAGATGGGGAGGTGAGCGAACACATACCGGCGTTAGCTCACTTCTCGATCCTGTCACGGCTCTCTGCTGTGACAGGGGAGTGACTGGATTCCCCGCTCCCCGCTCCGATCCTCCAGCGCTGACTGGCGGAACGGACGGGGGAGGGGGCGGGTACAGCTGGCTCTGCCTCTAGATAGGCGGAGCCAGCTGTCAGTCACGCAGCTGGGCGGATCCAGACATAATTGTCGGGATCCGCTTCAGCTGTGGCGTCTCAGTATACCGCGAGCAGTAACTCCCTATATACTGAGCTTAGGGTGACAGGAGGACGCTAGTTTGTGTCCTCCCGTTACCCTAAGGAGAACTATGTGGAAAAGCCTTAACCCCATAGTTCTCCTTTTTAATGATGAAAGTTGGCGGCAGATTTCTCCAGACTGCGAACGTTATTTTATAAGAAAGACGATGGAAAAAGAACACATCTTCTGGCTGGGCTAATACTATTGGCAGATTACATAATGGGTCAGATTTGGTTTTGCCCATAGCTAACACCCGGGCGTTTGTAATATGCGCGTTTTTAGCGTGATTTTTTTTGTTCAAGAAACACGCATTTATGAAATCTATATAAAGGAGTCCAATGGATACTCGCTGTAATCTGCCCCAAAAGAAGCCCATGTACTTGATCGCGCGTAGGATGTATTTCAGCTCGACAAAACGGACTGAAATATGCCCGGGTGGGAACCATGCCAATAGCAATTAATAGGATTTCACTTGTTGAGCGTTTTTTTCAGCGCTGAAAAACGTCCGGGTGTGAACCAGGCCTAAGGGGGGTGAATGTATGTATTGGTGTTTTTGACCATAAAAAACACATTTTGCAACTGATAAATGTGTAAATCCGGGGAGAAAACTGATAGATCCCGGAGTGAGTGTGCAGGTCTTTACACACACGGACACAGGGGGCCCAGAGGATGTGGGTTTATCTGATACAGTGGGACCAGGGGGCGTGCGTCCATCCGATACAGTGGGACCAGGGGACGTGCGTCCATCCGATACAGTGGGACCAGGGGACGTGGGTCCATCCGATACAACGGGACCAGTGGACGTGGGTCCATCCGATACAACGGGACCAGTGGACGTGGGTCCATCCGATACAACGGGACCAGTGGACGTGGGTCCATCCGATACAACGGGACCAGTGGACGTGGGTCCATCCGATACAACGGGACCAGTGGACGTGGGTCCATCCGATACAACGGGACCAGTGGACGTGGGTCCATCCGATACAACGGGACCAGTGGACGTGGGTCCATCCGATACAACGGGACCAGTGGACGTGGGTCCATCCGATACAACGGGACCAGTGGACGTGGGTCCATCCGATACAACGGGACCAGTGGACGTGGGTCCATCCGATACAGTGGGACCAGTGGACGTGGGTCCATCCGATACAGTGGGACCAGTGGACGTGGGTCCATCCGATACAGTGGGACCAGTGGACGTGGGTCCATCCGATACAGTGGGACTAGTGGACGTGGGTCCATCCGATACAGGGAACCAGAAGATATGGGTTCATCTGATATAGTGGGACCAGGGGATGCAGCTTATGGGGAGCCTAAAACACTAGTATATTGTCGGCAACATCAGCACTCCAGCTGTGGTGAAACTAAAAATCCCATCGTGCCTCTGCGAGTCCTGTATGTGACTGGCAGTCTTGAAATGCCTCATGGGACTTGTAGTTCCACAACAGCTGGAGTTGCCCACCACTGGGGTAGGTAAAGTTGCAGCAGTCCTATGACAGACATTGCTGTATCCCAGGGGGGTGTTACATAGTATTCTGGAATCCAGGAGCCAGCAAGATATTTATTTTTCTCCAGGTGCCAGCTCTATTAACCACAACTAGAGGAGCATTGGCGACCCGGCTCCTTGGATTCACCCGGCTCCTGGGATTCACCCAAACCCTGGTCTAGGTTTATGGTCAATGACAAAGGGAACCTTAAACTGTTTGCATTTAAAAAGAGGAAGATTCCTAACTGGTGGGGGACTATATTGCCCTCCCGAGGGGGGGGGGGACTATTATCCCCTGCTTCACCCTCAGCTTCTGTCTATAAAGAATCGGGGGAAATCTTTCATGTGATAAATCCTGCAGATGTCTGACGTGTATGTGGAGGGTGGGAGGTGGAGCTCGGGTGAGTTTGTGGGTACAGGCTGGTGAAAGGTGAGCAGTGTGTAGAGAGTTGGGCACCGGACACGCTGTAAGCAAAGTGCTCTGTGTTGTGCCTTAGTCATCAGCGGGGTCACCGAGGATACAAGCGGATAAAAATAGACTAATGCAACTTGAGCGCATGTGACCTCCCAACACCGTGCCAGACGTCTCCTTCAGCGTCAGATATTGAAAAGCATAAAAAACTGGGAACAGTGCTATGACCATGTGACAGGTACACGTGATTGTCTGTCTGATGGCTGATTTCCACTTTAAATGATAATTTTGCACTCTGCCGGCCGTCCTGACCCCTGCGCTCTGCCGGACGTCCTCCTGCACCCCTGCCGGACGTCCTCCTGCCGGACGTCCTCCTGCCGGACGTCCTCCTGCCGGACGTCCTCCTGCCGGACGTCCTCCTGCCGGACGTCCTCCTGCCGGACGTCCTCCTGCCGGACGTCCTCCTGCCGGACGTCCTCCTGCCGGACGTCCTCCTGCCGGACGTCCTCCTGCCGGACGTCCTCCTGCCGGACGTCCTCCTGCCGGACGTCCTCCTGCCGGACGTCCTCCTGCCGGACGTCCTCCTGCCGGACGTCCTCCTGCCGGACGTCCTCCTGCCGGACGTCCTCCTGCCGGACGTCCTCCTGCCGGACGTCCTCCTGCCGGACGTCCTCCTGCCGGACGTCCTCCTGCCGGACGTCCTCCTGCCGGACGTCCTCCTGCCGGACGTCCTCCTGCCGGACGTCCTCCTGCCGGACGTCCTCCTGCCGGACGTCCTCCTGCCGGACGTCCTCCTGCCGGACGTCCTCCTGCCGGACGTCCTCCTGCCGGACGTCCTCCTGCCGGACGTCCTCCTGCCGGACGTCCTCCTGCCGGACGTCCTCCTGCCGGACGTCCTCCTGCCGGACGTCCTCCTGCCGGACGTCCTCCTGCCGGACGTCCTCCTGCCGGACGTCCTCCTGCCGGACGTCCTCCTGCCGGACGTCCTCCTGCCGGACGTCCTCCTGCCGGACGTCCTCCTGCCGGACGTCCTCCTGCCGGACGTCCTCCTGCCGGACGTCCTCCTGCCGGACGTCCTCCTGCCGGACGTCCTCCTGCCGGACGTCCTCCTGCCGGACGTCCTCCTGCCGGACGTCCTCCTGCCGGACGTCCTCCTGCCGGACGTCCTCCTGCCGGACGTCCTCCTGCCGGACGTCCTCCTGCCGGACGTCCTCCTGCCGGACGTCCTCCTGCCGGACGTCCTCCTGCCGGACGTCCTCCTGCCGGACGTCCTCCTGCCGGACGTCCTCCTGCCGGACGTCCTCCTGCCGGACGTCCTCCTGCCGGACGTCCTCCTGCCGGACGTCCTCCTGCCGGACGTCCTCCTGCCGGACGTCCTCCTGCCGGACGTCCTCCTGCCGGACGTCCTCCTGCCGGACGTCCTCCTGCCGGACGTCCTCCTGCCGGACGTCCTCCTGCCGGACGTCCTCCTGCCGGACGTCCTCCTGCCGGACGTCCTCCTGCCGGACGTCCTCCTGCCGGACGTCCTCCTGCCGGACGTCCTCCTGCCGGACGTCCTCCTGCCGGACGTCCTCCTGCCGGACGTCCTCCTGCCGGACGTCCTCCTGCCGGACGTCCTCCTGCCGGACGTCCTCCTGCCGGACGTCCTCCTGCCGGACGTCCTCCTGCCGGACGTCCTCCTGCCGGACGTCCTCCTGCCGGACGTCCTCCTGCCGGACGTCCTCCTGCCGGACGTCCTCCTGCCGGACGTCCTCCTGCCGGACGTCCTCCTGCCGGACGTCCTCCTGCCGGACGTCCTCCTGCCGGACGTCCTCCTGCCGGACGTCCTCCTGCCGGACGTCCTCCTGCCGGACGTCCTCCTGCCGGACGTCCTCCTGCCGGACGTCCTCCTGCCGGACGTCCTCCTGCCGGACGTCCTCCTGCACTCTGCTGGACGTCCTCCTGCACCCCTGCGCTCTGCCGGACGTCCTCCTGCACTCTGCCGAACGTCCTCCTGAACCCCTGCGCTCTGCCGTGCGCCCGTCTGACCCCTGCCGGGCGCCTGCCTGACCCCTGCGCCGCATACTACTGACAGCACAATTCTCCTGGAAGATCCTATGCAGCTGAGAACTTTCTTTAAATTTCATAATACCATCTAACTGGCATGACTTGGACACTGGACAAAGCATAGGTGCACATGTGGAGTGGGGTTTCCTCTGTAGCTCCGCCTCCTTGTTGCTCTTTACATTGAAGCTCTGGGTTTAATTAGCAAACTGGTTGACGTGTCTGAAAATACCAATTGCCTGGCTCTGGTTTCAATACTCTTTAAGTGGGGGCAACATTAGCACTCCACCTCTTCCTGTTTAATGCATCGCTGTATAAAAAACAAATATGGATCAGCATGACAGCCAGGCATTTCCAGAAAGAAGGCAACGACAGCCCTTGCCCCACATTCCCTGCAGCACCTCAACACCCCCCAATATTATAGTGCTAGACATTTGCTCGAAAGGTTTCCTGATATAGGACAGGCGGAGAGCTTCACACCCTCATTATTAATCACATGCAGCCTACAAACCTGTCATTTTAAAGTGTACCTGTCACCTACTGCACAGGAAGCAGCCATTTTGTAAGCTATAAGGGATGCTGCCTGTGCTATGACCATGGTGCCCCCAGCTCCATTGTCACTGCTCCCTTGTGTACTGATAAGCTGTATTTTATTTGTTCGCCTACACATGCCTGGCTACGCCATTATGCAGTGAGGAGGACAGGTCCGCCTGCACTGAGCTCCATTTTAAGCAAGATGACGGTCAGTACGCATGCGCAAACTGTCCGGCCCCAAGCCAGTGGGGAGGTCACGTGTGAGGGGCGGGGTCTGGCCACCAGTTGCTCTTACTCCGCTCAGGCGCGCAGAGGACAACCCTGTTCAGGCGCGCAAAGGACAGCCCTGCTCAGGCCCCCTCCAGTGACGTCATAGGGGTCCTCGGCGTCTTCCTGTGACATTGTACTGCAGTGAAGGAATCCGCGCGCAGCGTCGAGGAGAGAGCTGACCGCCATCATGTTGCGCACTATGTTGACCCACGCCCGGAAACACCCCAGCGTGAGTGTCCATCTATTCTGTGTCACCCTACCCTGTCACGACACCCCATTTAGGGTCACTTTCCTTCTGATCCCCAATTGCGGAGGTCACCCCATGTCCTCCCCTAACACCTCATTGGGGGAGGTCATAGGTCCTGTACCAGGGGTCACCCAAATTAGAAGTGATTCCAACTCATTATTTGCCCCTTACAGCTGGAACCCCCTTCCCCCTCCTCCTGTATCCCTGCAAGGGGAACCTTTTAATCAGTGCGCAGTCCCCCTTGAAGCGGGGAACATTTTCATCAGAGCACAGCCCCCTTCCCCCTCCTGAAATCTGTAGGTGGGGCTCCTGCTGCTAACAGGTGTGCTGGGGGGGTACCCTACCAGTCATGTGACCCTGGTAACCCTGACTTTGCCAGTCATGTGACCTTTTCATAGCAATGTCCCTCACTCCAATGTGATGTTTTGACCCTCACAGCCACTAGCCCCCACCCTTATTTCTGCCTTGTGATTCCCATATGTGTTGCCCCTGGCAGCATGAGCCCCCTTTTATTGTGCCCCCCTCGATACCAGGCCTTGTTGTCATGGTGCAGTGTTCTTGTATTTTAGCTCTGTGTTGTTCTGGGTTCCCCTGGCTTCCTGCTTCCTTCCTATCACCTTAGAGTGGCACGCTGCACTCTGCACGTAGCTCAGGGAGTCACCTGGACTGCTTCCAGCAGAGTTGTGTATATAGACACTGATAGGGGAGCACAGACTGCGCATAGAGGAAAGGTTATTTTATTGCTGAGACGAGGAAGAACGCAGAGACTATAAACCTGGTGACGGGGACATTTTACTACCCAAAAAAAAAAATCTTTGAAGGTCAGGAAGTCATAGTGAGGTGACACAATATCATTTCCCTCCACTGCCCACCAGGGGACCAGAGGGCACGGGTTTGTCTACAGGAGGACCAGGGGACGTGGGTTAGTCTGATACAGGGGGGACCAGGGGACGTGGGTTAGTCTGATACATGGGGGGGACCAGGGGACGTCGATTAGTCTGATACATGGGGGGACCAGGGGACGTGGGTTACTCATACATTGTCCCTCGGCAGCCATTATACTAACATTCAGGAAGTGTTCAGACGGGTTTTTTTGGTTTTTAGAAGGTGCAATTATGCCCGTGCTGTGAAACTGCAGGTTTCGGTGATGGCAGCAAGCCAAGCTGCTTGTATCCTTCAGCAAGACCATGTGCCCTAGGGGAACGGTTTTGGTCCTGCATAGACTCCTATGTAGCGGGAGGGTTGGAGCACAAGGTAATAAAATAAAGCAAGGCGCAAACAAAGAGCAGCACACCTAAAAGGGGATGGGGGGTGAGGTTGTTGTAGAATTTCGGTTCACTGTAAGCATTTGTATGTTTCCTGAATGGCATGTTGCATCGCTTTCTCATCTCTTCTCCTTTTAGTTGATTCCCCTGTTCTTGTTCGTGGGATGTGGGGGTGTTGGTTCACTTCTGTACGCTTTGCGAGTGACGATGAGGAGCCCAGAAATCGCGTAAGTTTGCTTTTTTTTTTCTCTTTTAATAAACAAATATATGTTTTTTTTGTTTCACTATATCAACCATTTTGAATTTATTTTGCAGTTGGGACAAGAAGAACAACCCAGAGCCCTGGAATAAGCGCGGCCCCAACTACCAGTACAAGGTTTGTACACAACATGTGAACTTGGAGATTTTTGGTTTAATGAGGAACTCCGGATTTCACTTCAGTCTTCACAGTTGTATCGGCTCCTCTCCTGGACTGAAATTGCTCCCTTTTTAATTTCACTGAACACTGGGCGCTTCTCATAATGTGCATTAGAAACTGCAGCAAGTCAGATAGAGCCCGCCTCCTTTCCTGGCTTGAGAACGTCCAGTGGCTTTAGCTCTTTCCTTCCCAGCCTGACTGTCCCTGGTCTGTCCCTTTTTTATTCATTGGATTTCAGTTATTGCAATCACAGAATGGGCATTACCAAGGTAGTCTGCATGCAAATACACCCTGCCCAGGAACGCCCGCTCCTCCAGCCCGATAGCCACTCTTCAAGGCATTGTGATATTTGCATCATCACTCCTCCCATGAGCCGGCCCACTGCTTGCATCAGGTCTGAGGGCTCTTGAGAGGAGTACTAAGCAGGGTGCTATGATATAATATGATCAATGCACAGGGCCTTCCATCAGCCATGGTCTACCTGTGCTGCTCATAGAGAAGCACAGAGACCCGGTGATGCTAAGCCCTTAGGTTCTGAGAGGATCTGATGAGAGAACACAGGGGGGTATCCATGTTGTCTCTTCTGTGGTGTTACAGATCGGCAGTGCTTTACCGGTCCTCGGAATGCTCCTATGTTGTTTCCAGGGCTGGTTGTGTGCCGGGTGGTGTGTATGTGTTTTTTGGTTGTAATGATAACCTGCTTGTGTTGGGGGCGGGGGGACCCCATTTTCTAAATACACCTTTCCGCACATGTTAAAGAACTCTCTCCAAACCATTTCTAAAGTGGCTCCAATACTCTCCTGAAAAATGTAACTGTCAGTTCCCTGCAGTAGAATAGGTGTTCTACTCCTCTGCAGGGGCTGTACCCTCCTACCTCTTCTCTGTTCTAGTGCCGCAGCCTCATCAGACCTTCCAGCATTCTACATTTCTAGGAGTGAGGGATACCAGTGTGCCCCGGCACATACCATGGTTCCATCCTGTGGCCCTGATGTCACTGCTGGAGGATGGGACACAGGTATGCGGAGAAATGTAGGATACTAAGGAGTCTGACGGAGGATTGAATGAGCTGATTAAAGCCCCTGAGTTGAGTATAATATCTAATCTACTGCAGGGATGTGCCAGTTTTTTTTTTTTGTAGATCACTAATAGGGGGGTTTTAAAAATGGAGGATGAGAGAGTCTGCTATACCGATCATGTTTTCTTTAAAGGAGGCATGGAGTCGGCCTTTGCGGACGTCTGAAAATGAAAGCTGCCCGGCTATTATACTGATCCTCTGGTTTCAGTACTTTGGACCATCTTTCCTACTCTTGTGTACTTATTCCAAAATCAGGGACTCTGAGTCCTTACTCCCAATACTTAGGCTGGCCATACACTGCTCTATTTTTCTTCTTCATTCCACGGGCTGACCGAAAAAAAAATAGAGCCGATTCCTCCAACACTACAAGTTTGTGGATCGAGGAAACCCTCGGTTTGCATTTGGCCGCTGTCAGAATACTCGGCCAGAGCCGGCAGCTGATCGGCTGCCGGCTCCGGTCATATGAAGATTTTCCAACCTGCGCCTTGGATCAGCTGATGGAGGGATGCCGGCCGAAAGGGTGCCGACAGCGGCACACACCTTGCGAATTTCCTCCAAAAACTAGCCAAAATTCGCACAGTGTACGGGCACCCTGATTTTGGAATGCAGTCTGAGCTTGGCATGCATAAGTCTCCTACAGAATCGCTGAGTTTTAGTCGCGCTGCAGTACCAGTTGTCACCAGCAGCTGTCACTGGAGGGCGACCTGTTACTGTTCGCTCCCGTGATGCCAGGTAGGATATTGGACCGCTCTGATACTATGATGAGAAATTGTAGCTTCCTATTTGATCTGCGAGCGTTCTATATTGTAACCCGCGTCTCCTCTCCTGCAGTTTTACAACGAGACCGTCGACTACAAGAACCTGAAGAAGGAAGGACCCGACTACTAAGGCGCTCATTCGTCGCCGCAAGCCGCCAGTCACCGGAGCTGCTTCTCATGCTGTCCAGGAATGTCCATGCCATTCCCTCCTTTTATTTAATCAGATCAGACCTGTAAATTGAATCGGCACGGCTCTGTCTGTCTTGGTAATGTGTTTAGTTGAGCTTAATACAATTTAAACCAATTAAATCGGAGTCTGTTGTATAATGACTGCTACACGGTCTGCACTCGCTGCTCGGTGATGCAGATGTCCGCCCGGCCCAGGAGTTTTGTGCTCGGTACTTGTAAAATACAGTTATTTGTAAAAGTGACAAAAAGCGTCTTCTGGTATTTTGTTTTTTTTTCCCACGGTTAAAAAGTTTTTATGAAGGGCTCATTCACATGGGCACAGAGGAGCATGCACTGGGGGTTGTACAGACACCACACACTACACCTAGGTCTCCTGGATGCAGAAATACTGCAGTTTATTGTAGTGTGTGGCCCTGTTGGGATTTGCAAATCAAGGTAGTGGGGAAACGGAAGGGAAAAAAAAAGACCGATTGGAGGGTGGGCTACGAGGAAAGTTAAGGGGGGGCGGGGCGTCATTGGATGGGTAGGGGGACGAGCAAGGGTGAGCAATCCCAATACTCCAGCTGTTGTGGGCACTACATGTCCCATGATGCATTGCACCACTGACTTACAGACATTACTCACAGAGGCATATTGGGATTTGTAGTTAATGCACAGCTGGGGCGCATTGGATGGGTAGTGGGAAGAGCAAGGGTGGGCAACCCTGACACTCCACCTGTTGAGGAACTACATGTCCCATGAGGCATTGCGCGACTAACACTTAAGGTGCACATACACCTGCCGATTATCGTATTGGATGGGTAGGGGGAAGAGCAAGGGTGAGCAATCCCAATACTCCAGCTGTTGGGGGCGCTACATGTCCCATGATGCATTGCAGCACTGACTTACAGACATTACTCACAGAGGCATATTGGGATTTGTAGTTAATGCACAGCTGGGGCGCATTGGATGGGTAGGGGCAAGAGCGGGCAACCCTGACACTCCACCTGTTGAGGAACTATATGTCCCATGAGGCATTGCGCGGCTAACACTTAAGGTGCCCATACACCTGCCGATTATCGTACGATAACCGGCAGGTGTATAAAAGGCGTGCGACCGTTTCTACTGTACGGTTGCATGTCTTTTGTCTCCCGAGCACGCTTGGAAACCCGCCGAGAATCGTACGATCTTTGTCGGGTTAGTGTCGTTCTCGAGAGACAAATGCAGCACGGGCCGGGGGGTGCGCAAGCACACTGCCCGCTCAGCATTGGAGTCATCGGAAGCCCTCCCCTCAGCGTGGAGGGCATGCGATGATCGCAAGTACGATTCTGCCTGTCCAAGATGGGCAGATCGTACGAGCTTTTAATTACCTTACAACCATCGCAGGAAGTCGTGCGCTGGTTGTAAGGTGTGTGTGTGGGCACCTTAGCAGACATAAATCCCAGAGCCATCTTGGGGTTTGTAGTTATCACAGCTGGGGCGCATTGGATGGGTAGGGGGAAGAGCAAGGGTGGGCAACACTGACACTCCACCTGTTGAGGAACTACATGTCCCATGAGGCATTGCGCGACCAACACTTACAGACATGTCTCCCAGAGCCATCTTGGGGTTTGTAGTTATCACAGCTGGGGCGCATTGGATGGATAGGGGGAAGAACAAAGGGGGGTCCATTGGATAAGTAGGGGAAAGAGCAAGGGTGGGCAGCCCTGACCCTGCAGCTGTTGAGTAACTAAGTGTCCCATGATGCATTGCAAGACTGAAAAACACATGACTCTCAGAGGCATCATGGGATTTGTAGTGGAAGTACAGCTGGAGGGCCTGAGTTGCCCACCCCTGGGGGTAGAGTGGTGGGGGAGGCATGTGCATAACCTTGTGGCGTATCCATTAAAAAAAAGAGGAATAAATTGCCCCATCTAATAGGTCCAGTAGCACAGGGGTCGGTGCATCCAGATATGGATTATAAGCAGGGGTAGGCAAAGTACAGCACTTTGCAGCCCTCCAGCTGTGGTGAAACTACAAATCCTATCATGCCTTTGGGCACTGTGGCTGTGGAGAGTCTTGCAGTGCCCAATAGGATTTGTAGTTGCCCATCAGCTGGAGTTTCCCTTTGCCTTCTCCCGATATAAAGGATCCATGGTGCCCAGATGTCATTCAGACCTCACCCACACTTGCTCCCATATGAACACGTGTAGCCTTTTTGCATGTTTGTCATGCACATGGATAGGGCGCCCTGTTTTATGGGCGTGTTTAGCAGTCTTTTATATTGAGTGGGCCTCATTAATGGAGGGCAACGGCTGCATCAGGGGGCCTTTGTCTTCTATACTGAAGAACTGAAATGTATTATAAACCCATCCTAGATCGTAAATTTTTTTAATTACCTTACAACCATTGCAAGACAAAAGTCTTACGATGGTTGTAAGGTGTGTGCCCAGCATATCTCCTATTCTGCCTTCCCTAAGAGGTCCCTAAAAACTCATCGCTTGGGGGAAGTCTATCTCACCTCTACCCAGCAACTGAACATTTATGTCCTCCTTCAGCTCCTCCCTGCACAGATATTACCTTTTGTATCACTTGCCCCTCCCCTTTTAGATTGAAAGCTCTTATGACCCGGGTCCCTTTATTTTATAGTGCTGTGCCAAGTGTTGTCACTCTATAAACCTTGTATAACAATAACATATTGCAAAACAACCCGTCATCACATGTGGTGACTCTTATGTTTCCAGGCTCAGTACATTTTCACTAAGTACAGAAACAATATATTGATTCTGCAAGCAGTCACTGTAACTTCCTGCGCACTGAGCTGAAATCTCAAATAACATTAGCTGCCTTCATGGCAGCAGAAACCCGGACACAAGATGTCAGGCAGACAGGGGCAACCAAAATGAAGATAGGGGCTACTGGCCCCGCACTGAAATTAGTCTCAACTGTGATATTTACATATCAAAGGGTGGCGCTATTTATATATGAATAAGCCACGACTCATTCTCCCCAAAAAAATTTCCCGCGTCGCTAGAGTGTTCGGGTTCCGCTTGAAGAAAAGGTGGCAGCCCTAAGTACAGGAAGTACGTAATTGATGGGCTCATCAGGTGAAAATAAAGGAAACAAAGCCAGAGAAAAAGAAAACTAATGCAGCCACCACATCTAGGGACCTGGTAGCTGCAACATGTGGGTTTAGATGTGCTTTAAGGCCAATTCGCACCAGACCTTGCTTGCAGTAATGCAGATGTTTGCTAAGGGGTGACACGCTCATTGTTTATTTTAAATAGGCTGCCAAGGCACTGCGATAATAATACTAATAACATAAAATTATTATTATTCATTACAATAATTTTTAAAAATCTTGGTTTCCCGGTAGTTGAGATTTGCCCACAACAAAAATGTCTTCCAGCCACTTCCGCACCGCTTTTCTCTTGTGCGCCTGCGCAGACCCGCCCTTTCCTTTTCTGGCGTGGAGGCAGCTGGGAGTTGTTGGTTCCTGAGTGCCGAGGACACGTGTTGAGTAGGTGCACGCAGTCGGATCCGCGCGGACACGCAGACATGAGGCCAGGTAAGATCGCGGGGCGATGCCGAGATAACAGGGATGGGAGGGCGGCCTTGGGGCACAGGAGAGACCGGGGATGTGAGGCCTGTCCGGGAAGGGAGCGCTCCGAGCTGTGTTCCGGGAGAATCGATGGGAGCCATGCTTCATTACGCAGGGGCACCTCCAGCCCGCTCTATGGCTGCTTGCTGAATTCTCTGTACTTCTAGACTTCCCTTCGGACTTTTCCCTTGAGGGTAAGGCACAGCACGCCTGAGCAGCTGTGTCTAAGGGCTCGTCCATGCCAGCGTTGCCCAATGCAAAAGAACAAGACCATGTGCCGGATGTCCTGTAGTTGCCTTGGTCCTCGGCTCCATCTAGTAGCCATATTGTGGTATTAGGTAATACTGCACAGATACCATGTTTACTATACTGAGTACTGATACTCACCGTTACCAATGCCTTGGCTGTAAGTCATGTGACTGGTTTTCTAAAACAATACAGACAAGTGATTTTAGGACAGTGGTGGGGCGCTCTGGCCCAGACAAAGCTGCGACCCTGGTAGTTCTGCCACTGACTCCAAGCTGCAGAGGGATTACAAATGCCAGCAATACATTATACAGCAATATAGCATACCACCAGCTATAGAGGGACTACAAATGCCAGCAATACATTATACAGCAATATAGCATACCACCAGCTATAGAGGGACTACAAACCCCAGCAATACATTATACAGCAATATAGCATACCTCCAGCTATAGAGGGACTACAAACCCCAGCAATATAGCATACCACCAGCTATAGAGGGACTACAAACCCCAGCAATATAGCATACCTCCAGCTATAGAGGGACTACAAACCCCAGTAATATAGCATACCACCAGCTATAGAGGGCTACAAATCCCAGCAATGCAGAATAATATGAAGCTACATACTCACCCAGGCTGTGCAGCGTCTCAGGAGGCTGTGCGGGGTCTGATCCCAGCTGCGCAGGATTCCCAGGTCTCGGCATGGATGTGCTGGAACTTGTGTTTAAAAATTTAAAGCACCGACATCTGTGTTTTAGTATCGGGGCATATTCACGAACATGAGTACTCGTGAAAATCCCTGGTATCGGTGCGTCCCTAGTATTAGATGACGTTCGAAAATACATTTGATTTAAAATATAATAAGAGCCTTAGTTTTGGGTCCCGGCTGGCACGGAGACGTCTGTTTTGGGCCCCGGCTGGCACGGAGACGTCTGTTTTGGGCCCCGGCTGGCATTTGCAGAGATTTGAAGGGCAGTTGGCTCTGCAAATTGTTTATAAAGACATCCCCTATATCCGGGGTGGACAGATTAATATGAAATTCAGGAGCCAGTGGGATTTAGTTTTAGCAGCCAGCTCCATTGACAACTAGCGTAGACCTCAGATGTTGGGCGCCAGCTGGAATTTTTAGGGATTATTGGCGACCTGGCTCCTGAGACCTGTACAGCCCTGGCCTATACATACACTACATGTCCTATGAATGAAACCCACAATATCAAAAATCCCAAATGCCGTACCACCAGCTCCTCATAAATGTCAACCAACAGGGAACTTAGTGAGCCCCGAGGTGACCAGACCCGGGTCAGTTGAATATAAAGGTGCATATAATGCAAACATAGATGAGGTAATGACCTGAGACGATCCCATGGGGGCTTATGGTAAAAAGTAGGGATGCACCGTTACTTTGGTACCGAGTAGCGATAATTTCCGCCGATACCAATTTCCGAGTACCGGAAGTCCCATTCAGGAAACCAGGTGGTGTGTAAACACTCGCCACCCGGCTTCCCGATTACCAAGAAAGTCCCCTCTTACCTTGGTATGTCCAGCCTGTCACCCCCGGGGCCTCTCCAGCCAGAACGCGACCTTCCTTCGGGAACCCAGCCGGGGCCATCTGGCCGGCCAATCAGGACGCCAGGTGCCGTGTAATGACAACGCCCTGCTTTCTGATTGGCCGGGAGGCTGGCTCCATGCTCCCTCGTCATGAGATGACGAGGGATCATGAAGCCAGCGTCCCGGCCAGTCAGAATGCTGGGCGCTGCGTCATTACATGCTGCCTGGCTTCCAGATACAGGAAGTACTCGTGCTAGGCATCAGAGCATTTGGGCGAGTACGAGTACTCGCCCAAATACTCAGTATCGGCACTGATATCCATACTAGTATCCGTATCGGTGCATCCCTAGTAAAAAGGAATCCAGCTCAATCAATACAGGTGAATATTGCGGACCGGTTGGTGGGACGTTTTATTCCGGATCAGTCCACGCTATGAGGAGATCCGATCAGGAATCGGTGACGTGGACCTGTATTGTAGACCGGCAGGCTGAGCATGTCCTCCAGCATTCTTCATGCTCCTATGTAGAGCTGCAGCTAACGATTATTTTCAAAATCGATTAGTTAGCCGATTATTAAGTTCGATTAATCGGTTAATCGGATAAAAATAAAATAAATGTAAAAAATGGCTCCAGTGATGGGACTACTAGTTTGTATGGAGATTGCAGTTCATCACAGGAGTAAGCTTGGAGCGGTGGAAGTAAAAAAAAAGTGTGGTGTGCAATATAGTGAAATTAAAAGTGTAAAATTATACAGCAATGAATGGAGAATGGCACCAGCTATAGAGGACTACAAAACCCAGCAATAGTACATTATGCAGCACAATGCAGAATACCGCCAGCTATAATGTTGGCGGTATTCTGCATTGCACTGTATAATGTACTATTTCTGGGTTTTGTAGTCCTCTATAGCTAGTGGTATTCAGCATTGCACCACTGTATAATGTATTATTGCTGGGATTTGTAGTCCTCTATACAGCGCAATGCAGAATACCACCAGCTATATAGGAATACAACAAATCCCAGCAATACATTATACATACAGTGTACAATGTATTGTTGGGATTTGTAGTCCTCTATAGCTGATGGTACATTGCTCTGTATAATATACAGTACAGCACAATGTACCATCAGCTATAGAGGAATACTAATCCCACTATCCCAGCAATACATTATAGAGCACCATGTGGGGGTAAAGTGCAGGCTTACCTGAGCAGTCTTCCAGCAACTTGTTTCTGAGATCGGGCCTGTCTATCGGCAGCTGCCATCCGCCCCACACCTGCTCCTCCTTACTTCTTCTCCCCGCGTCCCTGTGCCGATCGTGGATGTGGGCGGGCGGTGAGCGTGCGGTGGGGAGGAGGTGCGGCGTGTGGAGCGTGGATGCGGCCGGGCGGATCTGGCAGCGGCGAGCGTGAGGTGGGGAGGAGGTGTGGCGCGCAGCGTGTGTGGAGCCGTGTACAGGGCCAACCAATCATAAGCCGATTAATCGATGATTGAAAAAGTTGACAACTTTTTCAATAATCGATTATGTCGATTAGTTGTTGCAGCCCTACTCCTATGGGATGTGATATTTTGGGGCCACCTTGGCTTGCTCTAATGAATGCCGAGTCTGCTCTAGAGCCAGAGATAGACGAATCGAACTTTATTCTGGTGAATCTCAGTGCGCCGGTTCTCGACACGTCAATATTCAGGCCACCGGTGATGCGTTTTGGCATCAAGTCTTTGGGTCCAATGTACGAAGACTCGGCCATGTCTACAGAGATGAATCCTGCGGAGGTTTTGGTGTTGACCAGAAATATTAAGTCTCCTTTTTTCTTCAGGTTTCAGTCCTAGAGGTGGCGGCCGAGGTTATGGTGATCGAGGAGGATATGGTGACCGAGTAGGTTTTGGTGACCGAGGAGGTTTTGGTGACCGCGGGGGTCGAGGTGGAGGCCGGGGCGGCTTTGGAGGAGGCGGTTTTGGCGGCGGCGGCTTTGGAGGACGCGGAAGAGGAGGTGATCGTGGCGGCAGAGGTGGATTTAGAGGTAAGACCATTTTCATTTATTTCCCCCTCGCTCACAGCAAAGGGATTTTACTACGAATGGACAAAAGGCGCCTTTTTCGGCATCACAGTGTTGTAACCAAAAGCAACCGGCTCCCGGTTGAATGTGTCAAAAGGAGTCCTGATTGGTTGTTGAGGGTTACTGCACTTTGCATGCTACCATTGCTCCTCGTATGGTCTTAGGTTGGCCATACACTATACAGTTTCATTGTACAATCTCCTTCCGTTTTTCCAAAACTCTCAATTATGGACAATTCATAATCCCATTTGTATCAGCTCATGGTAGACTGCAAGGAGTTGGAAAGATTGTGTAATGCAGGGGTAGGCCACCTCAGCACTGCAGCTGTTGTAGGACTACAAGTCCCATGAGGCATTGTAACAGTCTGGCAGCCACCGGCATGACTCCCAGAGGCATGATGGCATTATAGCTGGAGTACTGGGCGTGCCTACCCCTGGTATAGTGTATGGTCAGCCTTAGGGTTGGTGCACACATAACAATCTCCCTTAAGGTGCTCATACACTGTACGATTATCGTACGAGAATGGCGGGAAATCCCGCGATCGTACAATAATTGCAAAGTGTATGGAAGGCGTGCGACCGTTTCTACTGTACGGTCGCACGTCTTCCGTCCACCAAGCATGCTGGAAAACCCGCCGAGAATCGTACGATTCTCAGCGGGTTAGTGGCATGCTTGTTTGACAATTGGCGAACGGGCCGGTGTGCGCACACTGCCCGTTCAGCATTGCGGTCATCGGAAGCCCGCCCCTCAGGGTGGCGGGCTTTCGTTGATCGCAAGTACAATTTGCCTGTCCAAGATGGGCAGATCGTATGTTTTTTTTTTTTTTTATTACTTTACAACCCTTGCAAGGCAAAAGTCTTGCGAGGGTTGTAAAGTGTATGGCCACCTTCAGATTTTCCACCAACTTTGTAAGGAGAGCCTGCCTGTGTGGCTTTAATTGCATGTACTGTGTAGGTCGGCTGCACACTCTGGGTAAGGCTGGGCACACACCTTACAACCATCGCAAGACTTTTGTCTTGCGATGGTTGTAAGGTACTTAAAAAAACGTACGATCTGCCTATGTTGCATAGGCAGATCGTACTTGCGATGATCGCAAGCCACGCTCCCTGAGGGGCTTGCGCACACCGGCCCGTACGGCTGTTATCGTACGGACATGCCACAAACCCGCCGAACATCGTACGATGCTCGGCGGGGTTTCGAACATGCTTGTAAGTTTAAAGTCGTGCGACCTTACTGTATTAGAGGTCGCACGGCTTCCACACACCTTACCATAATCGTACGATCGCGGGATTTACCGCGATTATCGTAAGGTGTGTGGGCACCCTAACTCTAAGGAGACTGTAACATAGGTGTAGCTTCTTTCTATATATTGGCTCACTATTGATATTTGCATTGTGTAGGAGTTTAGAAATCTCTTATAGCGAGCTCGGGGCTATGACAGAGATGGTCAAGACTCAATGAACAATCTAGATGGTAAAATGGCGTTGGGGACTCTCGGTGTAAAGAGTATCCTGTGAAGTCTTTATCTGGGCTGTACTGCGTGGGCATTCTGAGTACATTTTCATGTGATTTACCCTGCAGGTGGAAGGGGCGGACCCCGTGGAGGAGGAAGGGGCGGACCCCGCGGAGGAGGAAGAGGTGGATTCGGAGCCGGGAGGAAAGTGGTGGTGGAACCTCACAGACACGAAGGTACGTTCCTTTCTCAATCAGCTGGATGCCTTCCAGTACAGCAAGGCAGGTCATCGTCCTGATGGTTGAAGTCACGCCGGCCGTTGGTGACTCTTCGTTTTGTGTTGCAGGAGTGTTCATCTGCAGAGGGAGGGAGGACGCGCTGGTGACTAAGAACCTCGTTCCCGGCGAATCGGTCTACGGGGAGAAGAGGATGTCTGTTGAGGTGTGTTGAATGAAGCGGCTTGAATTAAAATGGCCGCCGTATCCTCCTTGGGTACATTAGGTTCAGTATTCAGATGGTGAATATGTTTAAACTTCCCCTGAATGTGGAGTGCAGTCAGATGGTGGAACTTGTTCAGTGATGTGCGTTAGATCGGACGCAATCCGCCCCAGTGTGAGGGACAATGCCCATAGCCAAAGGGATTAAGAAGTCGAGGAAATCGGATCAGACAATGTAGAAGGTCTGAGGGTTCAAAGGGAGTACAACAGGTTCCTGTCTGAGGTCATATACTGCTACAAAGAAGCAATTGATGTGACAGATTTGGGCTTTACCTAAGAGAGAAGTATGGGGGTCACCTTTTTATCTCGGTTCTTTTCAGGGTCACGAGAGGACATATGCTAACCTCCTCCTGTGACCCAAAGTCAGTATGCAGCGGGCTATTGCCCCCTATATACTTATATTGCTGAGATCGCCGCAGCCGGGAGGGATCCCGACAAGACTGTCGAGACCCACCCCGCTGGCTGATTGACAGCTGGCTCTGCCTATCTAGATGCAGAGCCAGCTGTGCCCACTTCATCCGTTCCTCCGGGGAGCGTTGACTGACGGTCACGGCTCTCTGCAGGGACAGGATCGAGAAGTGAGCAAGTGACGGTATGTGTTCGCTCACTTCCCGATCTATTGAGCCGACCTGTGACAGTTTCATTGTCACAGGTCGGCTCTAACTATGCGGATTAGTGATTTTCACTCACCTCGTAGTTCTTTTAATTGTGAAGTGCAGGCTGGCTGCTTTTTGGGCCCCTTTTAGTACATACTTGTGGCCCTCAGCCACACTTGGCATTGAACACGTCTTTTATGTAACTAAGTTGTATGTTGATGGTGATACGTTAGCTATAGGAATCCACACTTCATGAATGATGGGTAAGGAATATGATACAAATGATTGGCTGACCTGACTTTATATCCCCACAGGAAGGAGAAACAAAGATTGAATACAGAGCCTGGAATCCATTCAGATCGAAGCTGGCAGCCGCCATCTTGGGTGGCGTGGACCAGATCCACATTAAGCCCGGTTCTAAAGTCTTATATCTGGGAGCTGCATCTGGGACAACGGTATCCCACGTTTCTGACCTGGTCGGCCCTGTAAGTATTCACCTTGTCCAGGTTTTAGGAATTCTGGCTTCCCTCTAATCTGTTTTGATCGAGTTCAGAATGGCGTCACTGTCGCTTAACGTGTGTCAATGTTCTGCTCGGCAGGAGGGCTTGGTGTACGCAGTGGAGTTTTCTCACCGATCGGGCCGCGATCTCATCAACGTAGCCAAAAAGCGCACAAACATCATCCCGATCATTGAGGACGCCAGGCACCCCCATAAGTACCGCATGTTGATAGGTAACGTTCAGGTCCTTATACGCGTTATGATATGTTGGTCAGTTCTTTAACCTTTTTCACAGTTGTAGTTCCGCGGTGATTTGACTCTCAAACCGTCATGTTTCCAGGAATGGTCGATGTCGTCTTTGCCGATGTTGCTCAGCCGGATCAGACCAGAATTGTTGCCATAAACGCCCACAATTTCCTGAAGAATGGCGGCCATTTCGTCATCTCTATTAAGGTTGGTTGTCATGCCGTCTCCACCAAGACTTAATATTACATAGCTGGACTGCACCATGTGCTAATTCTTGAGCAGCCATGTCATACTTAATGCAGTGGGGGGTGGGCACATTATGTCTGAGGGCCACCATTGCATAATTCCAAAAAAGGTTTATATCCTGTCACTAGGATAATGTGTAATAGTTACTAATTGAAAAGTCAGAACTTGCACATTACTTCAACTCTGGAGGAACGCTAGGCCATTGCAAGTGTTGGTCCAATGCAGGGCCATTTATTCTGAATGCCACCCCAGCAGATATGCTGTCAGAAAAGGTGCATGCAGCCCATTCATTTGATGTGATGGCAGCGCACTTATTTTGAAAGGACTGCCTTAACGCAACACGCAGTATAACGCGTTTCAACTCGCAATGATGGGCCTCTGAGGTTCCTGCTAGGGATGCTAAGATAAGAGTATTTGGGCGAGTGCTCATAATCGTCCAAATACTCCGAAACTTTCCCCGATACTGGGACTTCTGGTCAGAGGAAGATTTCTACTGGACGGCAGTGCCTTAGGGGAACATGGAGCCAGTGCCTGGCGATCAGGAAGCTGGGCGGCGAGTAATGACCCAGCTTCCTGATTGGCCGGGAAGCCGGCTTTCCAGCCAATCAACAAAGACCCGGGAATCAGGAAGCCAGGCGGTATGTCATTACCCAGCACCCTGCTTCCTGATTGTCTGGGAAGCCTACTCCATGCCTGCGGAAGCACCGGCATCAGTACTTGGTATCAGTGATTACGAAAGTAAAGCATCGGTACCGAGAAAACGGTATTGTTGCATCCCTAGTTCCTACAGACATCAGAGAATGTTTGCCTCATCCGGCTATTTATAATTGGATTGGAGATCATAAGTCTCTATAGCCTATCTGACGTCAGAAGACCTCCCCCTGCCTGCGTTTGCTCAGGGATGGGCCGTCAGCTTGGTTGCATTCATCCCGCCCACTCAGCCTTAGGATTGGCCAATGATTTCCCTGTAATTGTTTCCATTTGATCACAAATTAAGCATTAAGCCTCCGTTTTCCCTCAGGCAAATTGCATCGACTCGACAGCGGCTCCAGAGGCCGTCTTTGCATCAGAAGTGAAGAAGATGCAGCAGGAGAACATGAAGCCCCAGGAGCAGCTGACCCTGGAGCCATACGAGAGGGACCACGCGGTGGTGGTCGGCATGTACAGGTGGGTGTGATGGAGCAAAGCTTAAGTTGGACACTTCCTGACATCACACAGGGCTGGAAATCAACGGCAAAGTAGTAAAGGAAACCTGTCATGAAAAAAAAACTTTCACCTGACCCTAATACTTGTTCCTGATTTATTGGCCTCCGAATTGACTTATGTGAATAAGTATGGAGATGAGGTGCTCTGACTTTCCTGATCTGCATGCTTGTTCCAGGTCAGTGGGCAGAGACCGCCAAGAAACTAGCATTTTAGGAGTCTACTCTTCTCTACTGTAGTGGCCACCTTTGTCTAACGGCCTCCACTCCCCTGGGAAGGCTTTCCATAAGGTTTTGGAGGACGTCTTTGAGAATGTGTGCCGGTTTGTGAGGTCAGGTCCTGATGTTGGATGAGAAGACCTGCCTCACCGTCGGCATTCCAGTTTATCCCAAAGGTGTTCAGTGGGGTTGAGGTCGTGGCTCTGTGCAGGACACTCGAGTTCCTCCACACCCAACTCATGAAACCATGTCTTTATGGAGCTGTCTTGCACAGAGGACAGTCATGGTGGAACAGAAAAGGGTCTTCACCAAACTGGTAACAGAAGAAAACAATTGTCTACAATGTCTTTGTATGTATGAACAGAACCTTCAATGGAGACCTCTGAACTCCATTTGGAGGGCAGTTCACATACGTTTGGTCCTTAGTGCATTATAGGTAGGGATGCGCCGATACCGGTATTTTGGTACCGAGTACAGAATTTTCCAATTACAGAGTACCGCAAGTCCCATTCAGGAAGCCAGGTGGCGTGTAATGACTCCCTTCCTGATTAGCCGGGCAGCATGTAAAGACTCTCCACCCGGCTACCCGATTACCAAGAAAGTCCCCTGTTACCTTGTCCAGCCTGTCACCCCCCCGGGTCCTCTCCAGCCAGGAGCGGCCTTCCTCCAGTACCCAGCCGGAGCCGTCTTGCTGGCCAATCATGGGTGCCCTGTAATGATGCGGCGCCCTGCTTTCTGATGGTCTTCGTGCTCCCTCGTGATGAGGGATCATGGAGACGGCTTTCTGGCCAATCAGAATGCCGGGAGCTGCTTCATTACACAATGCACGGCCAATCAGTCGGCTCCATGCTCTCATCACAAGTGACGAGAGAGTATGGAGCCGCTTCACGGCCAATCAGGAAACCGGGCCGTGTGTAATGACGCGCTGCCCAGCTTCCTGATATAGGAAGTATCGGTCTAGGCATCGGAGCATTTGGGCGGGTACTCGCCCAAATACTCGGTATCGCCACCGATGTAGATACTAGTATGGGTGCATCCCTAACTATAGGCAACACTTAAGGCCGTGACACACGGCACGCAAAGCCGCGCAGAGCGAAGCAAAGCTGTCCGGCACGGAGCTTTGCGCGCAGTGTGTGAGCAGAGTATAGGCACATGATTGACTGCACCTTCAGCCAATCAGCTCCGCGCTGCTATGCCTGCAGTGTGTCACAGCCTTCAGTCAGCACTGCTCGAATGTAAGTCCTCCTTCACCCTCCTCGGCTCTGTACTGTATAAAGTCCTTTGCCAAAAATGATTTCCCTTTTGTTCTGTGTTGCAGGCCTCCCCCGAAACAGAAGAAATGATCCGGCTCTCCAAAAACCCTTTAAGACTTTATTTTTTATATGTATACCGACTTATTTTTACGCTGATTTCCACCTGCAAAGAGTGAAGATTGTCGGGAGCGCCCGGAATTTGACCCGTCTACTTCTCCCGTCTGATCTCAACAGAGCCGATATCTGCGTGTGAGGAGCGCACCGATCTCCGTTTAATAGAGCATTGACTAGAATGGACTCCCTTTTATAACACAATCCTCCCTGCCAAGGGGCGAGTAGCCTTGTTTTAAAGTGCAGTAATCCATAGTAACCAATCGGAATGAATCTCGTACTGCCCGATCACAGCATTGAATTCTGATTGGCTGCTATGGGCTGTGACACTGAGGAACGATCACCTTTTATTGGATACAACTGAAGTCTTGTTTGCACTTGGCTGTAGGTACAGCAGATGCATCACATGGCGCGGCTGTAATTCCGGGTGGTTTGCCTTTCTCAAGATAAATATCACATGAGACCTCCTGTTTGGGTATTAAGAGAAGCGAAGGTTTCTTAAAGGGTTTGTCCACTTAATTCCTATATGGTTACCCCCCCTTTATTTGTGGTAAGTTGCCAGACCCATTGATTAAATTGGCAGCTGTTATGTCAATTAGAACTCGTAAAGTTGGGTTAGGATTGAATGAACGCATAAAAAGCAGACAGCAGGTGTCCGTATTACATTTGTTCTGTAAAGAATAGCAGTGAGGGGTCGCCGGTCTCCCTGACACGATTGGTCACCCTGAACTGGAACACAAATTACACAATTGGTGGACTTGCCCTTTAGGGGGGGATTTTTTTTTTTAATGTCAATTCCTTATTAAACATTGGCTGCAGAATTAGACAAGATGGTAAGGAGGGCCCTGCCCCTGAGGGCTCACAATCTAAAAATACAGCGCAATTACAAGTGCGGACGCCCAGACCCGCATGGCTGTGCAGTTTGGGTGTGCGGATTACAGCGTACAGCTACGTCCTCCCATAGGGAAGAACGGGTTGCTGCGTGGAATTGCGCACATCACCTGTCCCTCCTGGGATCGGCCCGTTTATGGGCGTACACCCCACACAGACATGTACGCCCCATCTGAATTAGGCTTTCCTCATCCATCGAGAGAATTCGGATACTGTTGGGTTACATTGCTGTCGCTAGCAGGAGCATGTGTCAGTTTTTTTGCTGGTGTCCTAAGAGGATGAACATCTTTATTTCTAAAAAAAGTCTAATCAACCATTTGGCAGCTTTTTTTTTTCCCCTTTTCAGATTTATTTCTTGGATTACTCTATTAACGTCAATAAAGATTACTCGCTGCGCTAATTAAGCCGGTTACTATATGGCGGCCTTTCTTCTACCTGACTTGGGAGTGTTGTACCAGAACCCTACTGGACATGTGGGGATAGCCTGGAAAGTGACCATTAGGGATGTACCGATACTAGTGCCGGTACTCGTACTGCGTCATTACACACTGCCCTGTTTCCTGATTGGCCGGGAAGCCGACTCCATGCTCCCTCGTCTACGAGGGAGCATAGAGCTGGTTTCTTAGGAAGCCAGGCAGCGTGTATGACGAGGGAGAGTGGAGCCAGCTTCCTGGCCAATCATGCTTCTCTGCACTATGCGACAAGGGAGCATGGAGCCGGCTTCCCGGACAAGCAGGAAGCTGGGCGCCACGTCATTACATGGTGCCCGGCTTCCTGATTGGCCAGAAAGCCAGCTCCATGCTTACTCGTCACATAGTGAAGAGAAGCATGGGGACGGCTTTTCTGCTAATCGGGAAGCCGGGTGGCGAGTGATGACACGCCGCCTGGCTTCCTTAATGGGACTTCGGTATCGGTGAGTACCGATAAAAAATATGCGTGCTCTATACCGAAATACTGGTATTGGTGCATCCCTAGTGACCATCACACAGGGTCCCACTTAAGCTGGCCCTACACCTATAGATTATCTGCAGACTTTCTAGGGTCAGATGGAAAAAGTGCAACAGATTCCTCCATCTAAGCTGGGTGTAGGAATCTCCCGCTGGGCCAAGCTTCAGTGTCTGAAGCACCTGAACAATCTGATTGGATGCTGGCATTGTTCTGGTATTTTGAGAGCCAGCAGGGCCGACTAGCAAGATACTGAAGCTTGGCCCCGGGGGAGATTCGTAGATGGAGGAATCTGTTGCACTTATTCCATCTAACCATAGAAAGTCTGCAGATAATCTATAGGTGTATGGCCGGCTTTAGGCTGCCCTCCAGACTTCTACTTACTGGTGAGTTAGCCGCCGAGTTCTTTTCAGGTCCAGGGCTATGCTTGCCTCCTAGTCCCTTGCTTTCAGGCCCTTTTGTTATAAGACAGCTACCCCTCTCTCCTCACTTGCAGGAGCACTGGGGGGGGGTTTCTCCCATCGGAGAAGTCTTCCTATTTATTCTCCATCCACTTCCCTGGTGTGATGGAGTCTTCTCTCCATTTGTAGCCGGAGGGTGTGGCTACAGTGCTATTCACTTCAAAGGACTGCAACACAAAAAAGTGAGCTGGCCGCCATCCCAGGCAGTGCGTTCGGGCAGGAAATTCGCAATGCCTCATGGGACTTGTAGTTTCACAACAGCCGGAGTGCCGAGGTTGCCCACCCCAGCATGGTTTTCCTCCCTGCCTCCAATTCAGAAGTCGGGGGGCGGGAGGCGCATGGCATTTGCAGCACTTCAGCCTTCGAGAAGCGTGCGCACCTTCCTGATGCTATACAATGGGAGAGGTCATGTGCATCACTTTTGTGCAGCAGCTGGAAACTTTTCAATACACGGATTTGAGCTTTTTGGCTGAAACTGACCTTCAACTTTAATTCATATACATTCTAAAAACATACATTTGCAGGGGACACCAGCTGATTAGACATTCACAGTCAGTTTTATTTTAAGCCACGCCCCTTTTGATAAATAAGCTACCTGCTCTTGTGAATGAAATATAACGCCTCCAATGCAACTTTGTACTTTTAATACAAAAAGCACTTCAACCTGGTACAAGTAGGAAAAAAAATAGCTCACCGTGGCCAAATCTTCAAGGAGCGATCGTTCTATAGACGCAAACACATCTTGTCACGCCGCAACGTTTCAGGGGCCCTTCCTCAGGCATGAGCTACCCCCTCTTGTATCACTTCTCCCTCCCTTTTTAGATTGTAAGCCCTCGGGGGCAGGGCCCTCCTTACCGTCTTGTCTTGAATTGGATTGTAATGTCTTCCTTATATTGTAAAGCGCTGCGCAAACTGTTGGCGCTCTATAAATCCTCTATAATAATGATGATGACCTGGTACAAGGCAAATTTCATTTTGGTGCAGTGCCACCTTCTGACCACTAGAGGGCATCATTCACAGGAGAGATTGCCAGCTGAGCAAATGCATTCTGCACTGTCTGAGCTTGTCCAGGACTTGGTGAATTTTTGTATATTGGTACGTTCAGTCCCCCCTCCAAGCCTTCTGCAAAGACAATCGACCTTCAGCCAAAAAGGGTTAAATGATTCATGAGAGAGCGTGCCCTTGATGTTTGTTTTCTATCTACCCTCCCCCGCCTAGGAGATGATACAGTCAGCACCTGATCCGAACACTTTTTTTTAGCAAACGACCTTTTTAGTTGAAGTAATGCACCTTTCCCATGTTTTATTTCCTTACAAACCCTGCCACTTCGGAAATGTACCTGTTGATCCTGACAGTACCCTCCTTGTGTTGCTAACTTCCTGCGCATTGAAAGTCCCAGGATTAAGTAGAAATGAAGAAAGAAAGGCGCCGAACCTGATTGGTAAAAGGAGAGTGAGGCTCAGATTAACTGAGTTCGGGAGCTCACTGAAAAGTGGAGGCCTGCCCAGTACAAAGTCCGATGAGAAACATCCCTATTGGAGTGAATCAGAAAGTGCCAAATATCAGGAGGTTAAATATATTTTATAATTCCACAAACGGCAAGAGAGTTCCGGAAACCTGGCCAATCGAAGGGGCAGAATAATCCCCCTTCATCAAGGCTAAAAATATATACAGTCATGGCCAAAAATATTGGCACCCCGGCATTCCTGTCAGATAATGCACCACCTCGTGCAGAAAATTGTGGCAATGACAAATGTTTATTCCTTTTGCTTTTATTGGTGACACAAAAAGTGGAGAAGAAAAAAAAAGCCAAACCTGACACATTCCACGCAAAACTCCAAAAATGGACCGGACAAAGTTATTGGCACCCCCACTTAATATTTGGCAGCACAGCCCTTGGAAATAATAACTGAAATCAATGGCTTCCTGTAACCATCAATGAGTTTCTTACACCTCTGTACAGGAATTGTGGAGCGCTCTTCTTTCCCCAACTGATCCGGGTCTCTCAGATTGGGAGGGTTCCTTTTCCCTCCACAGGAGCTCTATGGGATTCAGATCTGGACTCATTGTTGGCCAGTCTAGTACTCTCCAGTAGACATGTGCGATTTGTTTCGTTACGAATCGAAATTCGTACGAATTTCCTGAAATTCGTAAATTCGGAAGCATCCGAAATCCGAATTGCAATGCTTCCGAATGTATCCAAAATATGAAATTCCATTGACGAATTTCGGATCCGAATTTCGTTGAAACGGGAACTAATATTACCCATGTGAATGAGGGTGAAAAACATGAAAAGATTTTTTTTTTTTATCCGAAATACGAAATTCCGTTAACGGAATTTCGTATTTCGTGCCTGTAATGCAACCCTCAGCAGCAGAAGAAAACCTCTGATTGGTCAACCAAACAGTCACGTTTCCGTTGTAACGGAATTTCGGATTAAAAAAAACTACCATGGACTCCAATATTAACAAAGATGTATTTTTTAACATCATCATAACGAATGTTTGTAACGGTATGAAAATGTGACGAAACTAACGAAAATTCGTATTTCGTACGAATCCGAATTGAGTTTCGGACACGAATTACCAAATACAAAATAACGGATAATCCGAAACCAAACTAAACAAATTTTTTGACGGCACACAAGTCTACTCTCCAGCACTTTGTCTGATACCATTTCTTACATTGCACCCCAAAATTCTTTGGTAGTCTTCAGATTTCATAATGCCATGCACACAGTCACAGACCTCGAGTGCCTGAAGCAGCAAAGCAACCCCAAAACATCAGTGACCCCCCCCCCCCTTTTTTTCAGCAGGGCCGGAGTTGCCTGGGGCGCACTGCTGCCTAGAGTGCAGCCTCGAACACTCACCCCCCACCATGGCGCCTACCCCCCATTTTAAA